CTGTCGTAATTGGTCAGAATGGACTAGTTCTGATTGTTCAGTGGAAATTCTGATAGGGCTCGGATTTGACAGGAAAAAGTCTGTGTTTTGGTTGAAATATAATTCTAGGAACTGCTTTATAGGGGTTGACTCAAATAGCAGGAACAGTGCAGGTAGACTGGCAGTTGAGGGCAGGCTTTTCCTTGAAATGTGGACTGTGTGAGAGGCCCCTGTTTAGAAATGGCTGCTGGGCTCTGTTTTTGTTTTTTTGTTTTTTTTATTGTTGTTTTAAATTTGAGCCCAGTTAGCCACTAGGTGTCCTTGGTAGGTCTCTTCTTTCTCAGGCCCACAATACTTTCAGAGAATTTAACAAACATTGCCTCTTTGGTCCTCACATCAGCTCTGAAAGAAAGGACATGTATGTTCCTTCAGCAAATATTTTTGGAACAGGCACTTACCGCGCACCAATCACTGTGCTGGAACTTGACTGGTGATACAAGGATGAATAAGATTCTGTCCTCATTCACAAGGAGTTTTAAGTCTCACAGGGAAAACTGATGATAGACTCAGAAGTTAAGGGACTTATTTCTAGAGTTCCTTAAAGTTGTGGCCCTCTGAACAAGGAATCACTTGGGCTGCTCGTTAAAATAAGAATAGATTCCACACCACAAACCTGCTGAGGTGGATGCCCAGGATTGGAGCCTTCAGGGATTCATGCACTGCTCTTCAGCTAGCATCGTCCAGTGGAGATATGAGCTTTCTGGCCACATTGCCAGAGGCTTTTCCCCTCCATTTGTCTTCCCGTGTTTTACAGATGAGAGAGCTGACGCAAGTGGAAGTCAAGGGCCCACGGTGAATCATAGACAGAACTGGAATTAGCGCCTGAACTTCCTGAACTCCTAAATCTAACCTGTTTCTATAACTCCTTCTAGAGTGTTAACTTTGCACACTGGATCTTATTGAAACTGCTTTCTGAGTCCTTTTATTTCTAACTAGAGACCTGGTGCATGATTCATGCAGTAGTGGGGTCACTTGGCCTGGCCTGTGTCCCCTCGCAATCCAGGACCCCTTTGGGGATGTTGGAAAGCTGGTTTTGATCGATCTCCGTAGGCCTGATCCAGAGAGGAAGGAGCCCGATCCTGTGCATTGAGCATCTGTCCCCTGGTGGTCAGTGCAGGTCACAGTGACTGGTCAGCTGGTTTTTCGGTTGCTTAGGCTTTTATATATTTAGATTGTATTCAGTAATACAAGCTCTTAGGAAGCATTTGTGTCATGTTCTATCAGCAGGGATTGTCTGCAAACAGGCCTCTTTCCTGTAGGGATATACAGGCCCAGGAGGCTGTTTGCGAGCCTCAGACCACAGGGAAAGTTCTTCCTAGGGGCAGAATCCTTGGAGAGTTAGGGTGCCAGGAGGCTGCCTAAAGCTCCACCCTGGTAGATAAGGGAAACCAGAGCAGTAAGGCTGGGTCATGGTTCAGTGAGTGTGGATTTTATCTGGAGCTAAGGTCTTGGCAGGGTGGCTCCTTCCTGGTTAACTGCTGCTCCTGGCTTTGGGGAGGGACTCGGGAATATTACTCTGCTCCTAGGCCAGTCTTTGTATAGTGTGCTTTTTGTCTCTATCATCTGTGTTGTGTATCTCTATATATGTATATGTCACATGTATTCTATATATTGTGTATGTCACGTGTGTGTGCACGTGTGAGGTGCACAAATTATGTGTGTTATGTGCATGTATGTGTGTGTGTGTATGTATGTGTATATGTTAAAAAGAAAATAAGAGAGAAGTTCTAATAAAGACCAGTTAGATCTACATATGGCCACAGATTATACAATTTTTTGTTAAGGAGCACAAACCTTGAAGTCAGACCAACTTTTTGCACATTTTTTTTTTTTTTGTAGGAGAACATTTATTGTGTAATCACAGAGGTAGATAAAGTAACTGCTAGAAGAAATGGGCTTAGGAAACAAGTTATAGAAATAAAGGAGGGCCCTTGGAGCTCCGTAGTGAGGAAGCTAATTGTAATGTACGTAGGGTGGGGGGCAGTGGGGGGAGAGGAGGAAGGGAAAGGCAAAAGGCATAGGTGTGCTCCTGGGAGGAGAGCGCCCTTCATGTACATCTTAACCCTACTTTCTAACCTGTCTCTTCACCTATCTGAAAACGGATGTACTACCTACCTCACCAGGCTCTTTGATGGTTAAATGAGGTAATATATGTCGAATGTTTAGCACAGGGCCTGGTAGGTAACAAGAACTTAATCATTGTTATCACAGAACAGGATATTCTAGGCCTTTCCTCACTTACATATTTGTGGTGGGATAACGGTAAGGACAGAGAGACCAGGAACCTCTGTTGGTGCTGAGGGGTTGATAGCGCCCAGCTCAGCCAGTTGTCACCATGTTAAACTACAAGCCCTGTGCCAGAGCGTGTGTGGCGATGGCAGTTTTAGCCTCGTTGTGCAGTACAGTAGTCACTAGCCATCGGTAGCTACTAAGCAGTTGACCTGTGGCTAATACAACTGAGAAACTGAAATTTAAATTTGATAGCTACCTGTGGCTATTGTGTTAGATAGCACAAGTCTAGATTCTAGAACTTTTTCCCCATTTTTATTGAGATATAATTTACATACAGCATTGCACAAGTTTAAGTTGTACAGCATGACTTGTGTATATTGTGAAATGATCACCACATTAAGTTTCGTTATTATCCATATATTCTAGAACACTTATTAAATGGTGAACTAAGCTGACTATTTACTTGGAATGAAGAGGAGGGAGGTGTGATCAGGAGTGATGGACAGGGTAATTTGAAAAAGAAAAAAAAGCCAGAATCTGTAGCTTCGGAAAGTTTACCTTCTTGTCTGGCTTATAGATACGGTAATGAGTAGAGTAGGAAGGACATCTGGGAGAAGGAACACTGGGCAAAGACAAGAGCCAGAAGCCATAGCGAGTGAAAGGAGAACCGTGAAAGGCAGGACCAGGAATAGGACGGAGCCTGACACGGGGGACCTGTTCATGGATCCAGAACTTCATCTGTACAAGCCTACAAACAAGCAGTTCCATTGGGTATTGGTGCTGCAGGAAGCACAGGGCCTGGCTGTGGCAGGCATGGGAGGCTGACCGGCATCAGGCAGCCTCTTAGATGTCAGGGTCTAATGGCCTAGCTTGAAGACAGGATGGCCTTTCTCTGGAGTGTAATAGGGAAGCTCTAAAAGGTTTTAAGCAGCAAAATGATGGGGCAGGTTTGCATTTTAGTAAGCTCACTCTACTCCATTGTGGTCAGTCTCCATACCTGGGTCCATGAAAGCTTGATTGTGGTTTCTCTTTGGAACTAACCATTTCCAGTGTCTTGTCTAGTTTATGTCTTGTCTTGTTTTTTTTTCTTTCTTTCTTTTCCTCCTTTCCTGTGTTGCTCTCTCCTGGGCCCCACGCTCTCCTCTTCCTTGATGTCCTTCTCTCTCTGATCCAAAGATCAGCCAGTAAAAAGCAGTCTCACCTGTCCAGGTAAGAGGGGTGCCATGGTGAGGGAGGGGAGATACCCTCCCCCTTCTAAATCTCAGTTATTTATTTGAATTATATTTGTTATTTGGACAGCCAGCATCTTCACATGGTTCAGGACTTAAAAGTTACAAATGAAAATGTAGTGAGAAATTTCCAACTCCATCCCTGTGCCCCTGGCACTCAGTTTTCCTTCCTCAGAGGCAGTGTACAGAGGGCTTGCTTTGTGCCCTTTCAGAAATATTTTAGGTATTTGATGCATGTATAAGCAGATACTTTAACATATAAAAAATAATTTCCTTTTTTTCTCCTTTAGCCACTTTTTTTTTCTGTCCACGTAATTCTGAATCCCGCTTTTTTCACTCACCAGCGTGTCTTAGAGACCATTCCTTATGGTATATAATGAGCTCTCATTCTTTTGTAGGCTGGCTACTGTGTCATCACATTGACGTTCTGCAGTTTATTTAACCAGTCACCCATTGTGAACAGTCAGATTCTTCCCAGGGTTTTGCCACTGCAAACAGTGCTTTCACTTGGCTGTAGATTAAATAGGAGTTCCCCTTCAGAGGGGCAGCAGCTGTTAGTTAGGAACCGGCCGTTTGGACACTTCTCTGGAAAGGAGAGGCATAGCAATGATTTGAGCTTCTCATGTTCCTGCAGGGATCCTATTAAAGAGGAGATCGAGCAATAAATCTTCTAGTTTGATGATCTGATTGGTACGTTGAGGTTTTAGGATCTTAATCGTATCTAAGCAAGCTGCCTCAGTCTGGTGGTAGGAATGGGGCTGAATGTGGGGTTAGAATACTACCACCAAATAGATAAGATTCCTGTTCTCCGATGGTACCCACAAGATGAATGGAATTTCCAAAGGTTTGAGTCATTTCTGTACCCTCCTTTCTAGAAAAATATACAAGTTGCTGGTTACCCAACAGGTGAGAACCAAACACCCAGTCACCCTCCCAGGGACACTGGAGAGAGGAAGAAGTGAAACTGACGTGGGGAAGAGCCTCTCTGTTGCCACCGCTCAGTCCTCTGCTGTGCTCACGCAGGCTTCCGTGTGTGTGTGTGACTCGCCATGTCCTTGCCCTCGTCTCCCCTTCCTTTACCTAAAACTAACTAGCTGTTCACTTTTTCCTGCCTTTTTCTTGCATTCATTTTCTCTGGTGCTCTGTTCTGTTCCATCAGCCCCATTGCAGCCTGGTAAGACCCAACAAGTGTGTGTATTTGTGCACATCTCGTTCTTGCTGTTGTCTCTCTGTCTCCTGACTCCAGGAAGGGCTGTTTCCCTTCTCACCTTGCTGAGTATTAAAGAGTCATGTTAGCCTTGCAGCCTGGGATGCCAAATAAGTGGTATTGCTAGTGGTGTGGACATGGCTAATCTCCCACCAGGTGGAGTGGGTTTCAGGTAGAGAGTTGGTGTCTTAGTACCCAAAACGTGGGGCTGCTTTTTACAGGGTTTTACCCCCCCACTACTGCGGTCCCTCCCTCCCCCCCTCACTGATGTGCTTTTATTACTCCTTCTCCAGGTTAAGCAGCCTGTCTTTGGGAGATTCGGCACCTGAACGCAAGTCCCCTTCCCACCACGGCCAGCCCGACTCCTCTGAGACAACAGGTAACCTCCGTCGTGGGGCATTAACACATTGACACAGATGTGTGCTCATACAGACTAATCCGTTTACCCCGCTACAATACCCCGTGTAAAACTACTTAGCCTCCATATGCGCTCATACTGTGTACTAGGCATCAGTACATGGTGTATATAAATTTAGTCCTTATATCAACTGTAGAAAGTAGATTTTACTCTCCCTGTTTTATAGATGAAGAAGCTGAGGTTCAGAGGGGTTAAGAAACTTCCCCAAGTGCACAAGCTTGTAAGGGACAGAATCAGGACCTGAAACCATGCTTTATCCATTGCAAGAAGCAGTCACACATACCTGCACACATGCACAAAGCCTAATACACACCCACAGGATGGAGATAGGTGGGAGTTATAGCCTTTCTTATTTTCTATGTTTGTGTATGGATGTCCATGTGAAAAAAGGTTTTCTCTAACATTTATTCTTCCCTGGACTTGGTGAGGGGCCAGCCCTGGTCACCCTGCATGAGTTGTCCAGCTCTGCATTCAGCAGGCACTGGTGAGCCACCTGCTGCATTCGCTGGCTGTAATTCAACAGAAAACCTGCAGTCTCACTGGGCTTCAGTCCCGGGATTGCTTCTCTGTAACGTTAGTCTTCAGCCTGGAGTCGGCCCTGCCCTTTTTTCAACCGGTCTCACCCAAACAGAGAGAGACAGGCTTGTACAAGAGAGACAGGTATCTCAGAGAAGGCGATTTCTTGTAAGGAGTACAGAATTGATCACTGAGGGAGGCATGCCGTTACCATGGCATTTGGACAGGCTAAGTCTGGGAATCTGGTTAGTCTGGAAAGCCTTTCTGGAGGAAGAAACATCCGGGCTCTCCTGGTCTAGGCTTGTATGCACTGATGTTCCCTGACAGTGCTACCTAATCCCTTCTTTCTCCTCACCACTCCCAGGTCTTGTTCAGCGCTGTGTCATCATCCAGAAGGACCAGCATGGCTTCGGCTTCACCGTCAGTGGGGACCGCATCGTTCTGGTACAGTCTGTGCGGCCTGGTGAGCATTGCATCCCTCCTGCCGTGGGCAGTTCTCACACAGCCGCCCTGTATGTGACAGTGCTGCATAAGGTGGAGAACTTTCGTGTCATTCCTCTGAGGGCCTGGGACAGCCTTGGGGGCGCGTTTGAATTACTCTAGAACTGGTTCCCGGGAGCATTTGCAAAGGTCTCCACAACGTTAAGCCACAAGGCAGAGTTTCTGGGGTGACACTCTATGCTCACTTCCCCTCGTGGGAAGTGTAAAAAGTAGCATCAGTTAGCTGCCTGACTGCCCTCCAGGGAGCTCTTCACACTGTGTCAGAATCAAAGACCTGCCTTCTTCCTCCTCGCCTCACATCCCCTACTCAGTGCGCAGGCTATCACCTTCTGCAGCTGTTAAAATGAGATAGACACACTAGCCCAAATGTATTTGCAAATACAATGGACATTAAATAATAAATTGCCAAAATGTGTATGATGGCTATTGGACAGCACAGGAGAGGAAATGGTGTTTGGAAATTTGTGGTTTGAGGTATATTTTTCTTTTAATCAGTTCCAGAACTGCTCTTTTAATCAGTTCCAAAAAAAGAAATAGGATTTTGCCCTGGCTGGTGTGGTTCAGTGGTTAGAATGTCAGCCTACACACAGGCACAGAAGGTTTGATCCTTGGTCCCTATCAGTGGTATGCGGGAGGCAATCAATCGATGTGTCTGTTGATACACATTGCTGTTTCTTTCTTTCTCTGTCTCTCCTCCCTACTTTCTTCTACCCTCTCTAAAAGCAATGGAAAAAATATCCTTGGGTGAGGATTAACAAAAACAAATAAATGAAATAGGATTTCAGGAGTAGTTTGAAAGATGGAAGTGAAAACCACATTGGCAGGTAGGAATGGGGGAGTGAAGAGTGGGAGGACATGGTAAAGCAAGTCAATCAAGTAACCAGTTAGGTATGAAAGAACTTCAAAAATTTCAAAGCCTGTTTATATGTCAGGTGAGAGAATCATTGTTATTAGAGACCCAGGCCGAAGAAAACAGGAAATGAGCACAGGGGAAAGTGTAAAGCAAGTGTCCCAAAGAGGGGCGGACAGCAGTGTAGCAAGTGGTCTTGAGCCCGGAGACGTTGTTTAAAGAAGATATGAGGAAAGGGGTAGGGAGCAGGCTAGCATGTCACCCTAAGTACAGTGCAAAGTGGGAAGGCAGATACACTCTAAGTAATTTTGGAAAGATTTGGGATTTGTTTATGAGAAAGACAAAAAGAGGACGTCAAACTTATGACCAAAATGAGGTAAATGAGTCATGCAATAATATAAACAATTATTGCAACTTATCAGTGGGAAGTTTGTTTTTCATATCCATGGCTAGAGCTCTGAAAAGATACTTTTTTCCTTGCTTCCCTTGTTCTCTCAAGGTTCCTGGACTGGGTGAACAGCTGGTGGGACTGCCAGTAACTTGTACTTTGCCTTTGTGGTCTCTTTGCTACAGAAAGTTTAGAGATCTCCTCCGGTGAAGTAGGAATTCAGCACGCCTTCAGTTTTTCTTCCTCTTAGGCCTGAGTAGAGTCAGACCCAGAGAGGAAAGATCAAAAGGATGGGTTGTAGCAAAATAGGAGTTTTGGGAAATATGTGCATGTATGTAATTTTGGGGATGAGAAAGAAAGAGACTTAATTTGGATTGGCATTGAAATCACAAGAGTAACCCAGCATTATTGTTTTTTCAGATATTAGGTTCCTCTTGTTCACTCTTTCTCAGAGTGTAGTCTTTGTTCTGCCTGTATCAGAATCTAGAAGGGTTGAAGTCTGCAGTCCGGGGCCCAGCCTCAGAAGTACTCAATCACTTTCTGGCAAGGGGGCCAAGGAATAGGCTTTGTAATAAATTCCCCTGGTGATTCTTGTGCTTAACTCTGAGAACTTCTGCTCTAAATAGTGACCCGATGCACATTGAAAGGAAGTTATTAGAAGGTGGCCCGTGGGGCAGGACTGACATGCCCGGTGTCTACAGAGTGAGTTGGGTCCCTCTGCCAGGTGGGGTCCCTTGGCCTGGCCTGTGGGGATCGTGCAAAACCAACTCTCCGACATTCCCCAAGGGGTCCCGGAGTGCGAGAGGGCACTCTACAAAGTTGCTGTCATGCAGGGTGTGGAACGCAAACACAAGTGTGCAGTCAACCAGATTTGGGGCCAATAATGCCCCAGCAACAACGTAACCGACAGCTGAAGGTGGAATCGTATGGCCCCACGAGGAATTGGGCTCCTTCCTCTCTGGTTTCGGGGTGTGTCACCCAAGAACCGCCATTGCCAAGTCCCTGCAGCTCGGTAGTTCCTGCCTTGAGTGTCTGCCCCCTGGTGGACAGTGAATGTCATAGTGACCGGTTGGAAGGTCGGACACTTAGCATATTAGCCTTTTATACTAGTATATATAGATTCCTTAACTCTGAAGGGTTCTTTTTTAATCACTAAGTTATTAGAAGTGACTTGCATTTCATACGTTCTGGCAAAATGGCTTTCTTCCACCTAACTCAGATGCCAGACTTCGGAAGCCCAGGCCACAACAGGTAGAAGGGCCGGGCTCTGGGGAGAGCTTTATTTAAATGTTCTGTGGGTGCATCCCAAGATCAAATAAGAGTTACTTCTTATCCAGTGGGAAAAATGAGTTTACTATAATAATTATAATTTCTAATGTAATAATTCTTAAGAGAAATATAGAGAAAAGGATTAAAACGAGTTTTTAAACAGTGGCTCATAAGTTCTGAGAAATTCATAAAAATACTTTGGGAGTTCATCAAAGACGATCATGATAACTGTTTTATTTTCTGTTATAAGAACTGTTTTAAACTATTTTCATTGTCTTCCTTTTTAAAAAAAATATTTATTGATTTTTAAAGAGAGAGGAAAGAAGAGGGAGAGAAAGATAGAAATATCAATGAGAAACATCTATTGGCTGCTTCCTGCACACCCCTTTCTGGGGGTCAAACCCGCAACCCAGGCATGGGCCTGACCAGGAATTGAGCCAGCGACCTCTTGGTGCATGGGTCCACCTTCAGCCAAGGCAATAGTTTCTTCCTTTCACATGGACCAGAGAGAGATTGTGATTGAAAGCCTAGAGCTCACAATGTGCTCTAAAATTATTCAGCTGAAGACTGCAGTGGTTTTGACCACTATGTGGATTTAAATGACCTAGAGTTTATATCCAGGAAGCACAGGAACACTAACACAGGCAAATTAATGAGAAGCATAAAAATCAGATTTTTTTGTAAGTCAGCCCCCAAATGATCATTAAATCTGTAAGTTGCATTTATCTGACCAAAACAAAACTCTCACAAAGCACATCTAGATGTTTCTGGTCTTAACAAGAGATTTCAGTGTTGACTACATGCTTAATTGGTTGAGCTTCATCCTGTGCACTAAAGGTTCCTGGGGGTTTTTATTCCGGTCAGGGCACATACCTGGGTTGTGGGTTTATTCCTCCAGTTGGAATGATAGACAACCAATCAATGTTCCTCTGTCACATCAGTGTTTCTCTCTCTCCCTTCCTCTTTCTAAGCGTGTCTTCCGGTGAGAATTTTTAAAAGAGAGAGAGAGATGTATAGACCTGGTATAGTCTACTCTAGTTTAAAAGTGGTTTTGTCCCTGGAGCAATTAGGATGTACACATTTGAGGTATGTAACACAGAAAGGTGAGAAGAGGTTTGGAGGGGGTGATCTAACGGGGACCTTGGTGTACACTCAGTGACAGCTGCAGGATGTTGGGCTCTGCTGACCAGGCCTTCTTCTTACAGGAGGTGCAGCCATGAAAGCCGGTGTGAAAGAGGGGGACCGCATCATCAAAGTGAGTGACCATCCCTTTGCGCATTTCCATTTCAATACCAGCCGGTAGGTAGCCACGGAGTCGGGGAGTGGTACCATGAGAGTGAGCACGGTAGTATATGGTGACATAAGGTGAGGGCTAATATATTCTAGCCCTTCTTGACTTTATAGCAGCCATGCTTCTAGAATAGGTTTTATTATTCCCATTTCACAAATGACAAAAGCAAGATTGAGAGAGAGGTGTTGAGACTAGTGAAGGGCCCAGTGCCTTCAGATTCTTGGCTTGCTGTTCACGTCCTTTATACAATGCTCACTTGGGTCCTTGCCGGTTCTAAACTACCGTCATCTTCCCTGTGCATGCAACGCTTTCTTCTGGAATAGAGTCCTAGAGCCGTTAAGTCAGTTGACACGTGTACAAGGCTAATGGTTGAAAAAACATGTACTAAAACTTTTAAATGAATGAATGAGCAAACAAATGAAGCTGCAGGCCTTATCCTTGCAAACTTACAGACTAGCTGGGAAGACAAAACACATGGCAAATATGAACAGGAATAAATTCATAATGTGAATTTTGAGTAAATAAGTGACCAGAGGTGGTTAAAGAACCCTGGAAAACAGCTCCCTAAAGGAGTGGCATTTTGAACTTGTACAGGAATCACCTAGTGTCCGTCTCCGTTACTCAGTATTATTTGTTCCCCCAACAGGTGAACGGCACCATGGTGGCCAACAGCTCACACCTGGAGGTGGTGAAGCTTATCAAATGTGAGTTGGAGAGAACTAACCACTAAAGAATTGAGGGGAGCAGCTGAGCTAGTAGGGAACTGGGGAAGGGCAGGTCCTGTTGACCCTGGGGGGCATGGTAAGTAAAAAGAACTTTTCCTACAGAATTATAAGCGTAAAGAGAGGAGAAAGGGAAAGAAGCCCTTCCTTGTAGTTTGAATGTCTGCTGTCCAGAACAGGACCATGTGAGCAAGCCTTCTTGTATCTGTCCCTCCAGCGGGTGCCTATGTTGCACTGACCCTCCTGGGCTCTTCACCCTCAACTGTCGGCGTCTCTGGGCTCCAGCAGGACCCAGACCCAGCAGGAGCTCCCCAGGTCCCCTCTGTGGTCCCTCCACCACCACCTCCTCCACCTCTGCCACCTCCACAGCGCATCACAGCACCCAAACCCCTGCAGGTATGGTCCTCCTGCTCCTCTCCTCTCCTCACTCTGTTGTCCCTCTAAATAGCTCCCGTCGGGGGAAAGCAGGTTAAATTGAATGATATGCTGATAAACAGAGACAAACCAAAGAGATGTTCTTCCATGTAAATGCATGTGTAGTTGTATCAGACAGCAACATACTGTGCATTTCCAAAATGTGTGGAATACTCAGGAGGCCCTTTGAGAGTGCTCCTCCCACCTCTGCAGTACAGACAGGGGCACCTGTTAAATACTGCCAGTCATTGTCGGGAGGGCGTGGAACAGGAGCAGAAGGAAGGCTTCCTGAAGAACAGGCTGCTTGAAGGAATGAAATATGGAGCCTAGTCTGTAGTGGGGGAGAGTCAGGAAAGGAAACACACACATAGGAAGAGAACCCGAGGACCAGGGGAAGCTGTGTGAGGTGTTAAAAGAGATCAAGATGCAGATAGAATGGGGAATGGGATTTCCCAGTTGGAAAGAAGGCTGAGCCAGCAAGGCCTGGGAGACTTTAGAGAGCAATTTGACACCAGAGGTGATTACAGCAAGGTCTCTAGGAAGTTCAGATAAAATCAAAATAAGATGATATGTTTACTGAATTCTAGAAGGGTTCCGAGTGTTAGACTTTTATGACACAGGCTCAACTCTCATCGCTTTCCTTGCCCACGAATCAGCTGGTAGAAGAGAATCAAACTGATACCCTATTCTCACTACTGTCATGTTTTTCATTCTTAGGATCTTGAATTTCAAAAACATGCCACCCAGATCCTTAGGAATATGCTGAGGCAGGAGGAAAAGGAGTTACAGGTAAGGTCTTTGCTGAGGGTAGACTGGCCATTGCCTTAATGAAATAAGAATTTGTTAAAGCAGAATGTGACCAATAGAGTGAATAGGGTAATAGCTCATAGATAATATATATAATAGAATAGTGAATATGTAGGCAAAACACAAACAAGTGAGGAGACAAGTGGACTAGATTAAAATGAGGGAACATTAGAATTGAGAAAAACCGAGTCAGTTGGAATTGATCTTGATGGTTTCCAGGAAAAGGAAGGGTCAGGAAGAAGGAAGGTGTGTGCATAGGGGAAGGCCCAGCAGGCTGACAGAGAAGGGGGCAGTGTTGGTGAATGGGAAGCAGAGAGACTTTCAGGCCTGGAAATGAGGTGCAGAGAGAGCAGTGAGATTCCTTTAGTTGGAGTGGAATCACCAGGTTCCTATAGTAGCTGTGGCTTGCAGCAAGCCCCTCATTTCAATTCAGCAAATTTCGGTAAGTGCCCACTGTATGTAAAGTATTGTTTTAGTCCCTATGGTATACAGAGATGAAAAAGTCTTGCCCTTAACATGGAAGAACCCTGAAAACATTTTACTAAGTGAAAGAAGCAACTGTGGGAATATGCTCAAAACCACTGAATTGTACATTTTAAAGTGGTGATGTTTATGTTAGTGAAATTTTTAAACGCTGTGGGAGCCCAAAAGAAGGAATAATTAATTATGCAATGATGAGAAAAGTTCTCATGAGGTGATGCTTGAGTTGGAATCATTTTGTTTCCCTCTGGAAAGTACTTTGGGCCTTGATGGGCTTAGAGCTTATTCTGGTGACAGTAGGAATTGATCAAAGGATCTTTGGGTAGGAGAGTGAACATACCTTCAAATCCGTGTTCTTATTGTGTTAGGTGGATTATGCATAAGGAAATCATCGAGGAGGTTATTGAAATAGGTAAAAATGATGACAGGTTTAACAAGAACAGAAATAAGAACAGAAAGTTGGGGCTGGCAATGGGAGACATAGCAGAAGTCATATCAGTAGAACTTATTGTTGGAAGGAGGGGTAAAGGAAAAGAGAATAAAAGCCTGGAATTTGGGTGCCTGGGTAGATGGTGATGCCATTGAGAGAGTGAGACAGGGAGATGAGCAGGGTATAGGGGAGAGAAATGAAGGTCAGCTTTGGGTGTCCTGAGTTTGAGGTGCCCCTGGGACACTCAGATAAAAAGATTATCACAGAACATATGGAGGGAACAGGGCTGGACCTTGGTTGAAATAGACTGGGTATCTCGGTACTCAGGTGGTAATTGAAGTTGGAAATTAGATGATATCACCCAGGGCGCCAATGCCGAGAGAAGAAAGCTGAGGATGGAATTTTGGAACTTATGTGCTCTGTAGCACAGTGCAGCAACCTCTAACATCACACCAATTGTGTTATATTTCCTTCTTTCTTGTTAATCCTCACCCGAGGATATTCTTTCCCCATTGCTTTTCAGAGAGAATGGAAGGGAAGGAGAGAGACACTGGGGTGGGGGTGGAGGGGAGGAGGGAGGGAGGAAGAGAGGGAAGGGAGGGAGGGAGGGAGAAGAGGAGGGAGGGAGGGAGGGAGAGAGAGAGAGGGAGAGAGAAGCATTGATGTGAGAGAGACACATAGATTGGTTGCTCCACGCACATGCCCCAACCAGAGCCAGGGATCAAACCTGCAACCCAGGTATGTACCCATGATCCTTTGGTGCATGGGCAGGCACTCTAACCACTTAGCAGCACTGGCTAGGGCTTGGACTAAGTTCTTAAAGACACGGACCTTGCCTCTATTTCTACATTTGAATGTACCTCCTGCACAGCTGGCACAGGACCTGGCATATATCGGGCCTTGTAAATGTTTGTGGGACTGAAGGCTCACCTAGATTTCAGAGATGAGGCAGGGATAAAGATATAGTTGGGGAAAGAGTGTGAGGCGACCCAAGATATAGTGTAGAGTTAGGAAATCAAAAGAGGGCAGCATTTTGAGAAGGACCTAGAAGAGACCATTGGATTTGGCAATTAGGTCATTTTGTTCTGTAGCTGTTTGAGATACTAGGGAGGAACTAGATTGAGGAGTGACTGGAAGGCAAAGCCATCTGGGGGTAAGTGTAAACTCCTGTTTTGAAATATGTGGCCATGAGAGAAGGGAGAAAAACCTGAGGCAGTGGCTTGAAGACTAGTCAGAGTTGAGTCCTGGCCGATGTAGCTCAGTTAGTGGAGCGTTGTCCCAGGCACCGAAAGGCCATCGATTTGATTCCTGTTAGGGCACATACCCAGGTTGCCGTTCAATCCCCACTCGGAGTGTGTACAGAAAGCAACTGATCAATATTTCTCTCTCACATCAATGCTTCTCTCTCTCTCTCTCACCCTCTCCCTTTCTCTCTAAAAGTCAATAAAAGTACATTAAAAATAATAATAATTTGAGTTGATGGAAAGGGTTTTATTGTAGTGGTTTAAATTGGAAACTTGAGAAGGAGCCATTGGAGAGAGAAGAAGAGCCTGAGGCAGTTGGAGGCATTAACTTTGTAAAAGATTAGACATAGTTTCTCTTCTGGAGAAGGAGGAATGGTTGCAAATGTTTTGAAGTGAAATAGTTGAAAAAGTTCTTTCCAGATGATATTGTCTACTGAGACTAGGGAGAGGGTTGGAGGCTTGCTAGGCCTGGAGAAGATGGAAAAAGCAAGTGTGAGGAACTGGTAAAAAGGATTGGCAGATAACAGCAAGGCCCATATGAGCTTGAGAATATGTGCATGCAGTTTTTGTTTAATTATTTAACCAGCCAGCTTTACTGAGTATTTTATTTTACAGTGAAACTAGAGGCCCGGTGCATGAAATGTGTGCGTGGAAGGGGTCCTTAGGCCTGGCCAGTGATCAGAGCTGTCTCGTCCAGTCCTGATCAGGCCAGGCCAGCTGGGGCCTGCTACAAGGAAGGACGGGGGAGGGACCGAGGGAGGTTGGCTGTGGGAGCGCACTAACCACCAGAGGGCGGCTCGTGCATTGAATGTTTGCTCCCTGTTGGTCAGTGTGTGTCATAGCAACTGGTGGACTAGTTCCGGTCAGTAGGTCTGTTAGGTCGTAAGGGTCGCTTAGGCATAGATAGATAGATAGATAGATAGATAGATAGATAGATAGATAGATAGATAGATAGATAGATGGATGATTATAGCTGACCATATTCAGTAATATTATTAAGCACCAGAAAATCTGCTAAGCACTTTACATGCATAATCTTATTCTCAGCTCTCCCAAGAGGCAGATACTGTCATTTGCAGGTACTTTTATTGATGAGGACAGATGAAAGCTTGCCCAGGTCTACACAGCTAGTAAGTGAAAGTACCAGAATTCAAAGCCAGGACCCCCTGACTGACTGCACAGCCCCAGCTGTACACGTGTGAACTGCACTCCCTGTGTGCTGTGAGGAGTGTAGATAAGTGTCAGACTGCTTCCCAGCTGCAGGGCTGTGAAGAGCGATGGCCCCCTTGTCCAAGCTTCTTCCTCTCACTGCAGGTGCTTTTCACTGTGTGTTTCCTCTTTGGCACCTTTTCATGTGCTGACCTGGACAGCCGCATCTCCCACGAGTAGTGCAGTAGTCAAAGAGCAGCTCTCTTAGGGTGTGGGACTTAAGCCAGCCTTTGAAGAATGGGTCAGATTGGGACAGGCCTTTTGTTGTGTCTTCTTTCTCCAGGTGTCTTGTGTTCTGTCTCTCACCATTTATACTTTTTCTGCTCCTAATTGATTGTGAAATAGTGTGTGTCTACTAGAACACAAAGATCGCTCTCTCTTTGTTTGGGAATAACTGCCTGTTCCTCTCACTGATGAGTTGTCCGTTCTCTACTAACCACCCCATCTGCCTTTTCCCCTCCTCCCTCCCCCCGCTCCCCCAGAGTATCTGTGAGGTGTATAGCCGGAACCCCACCAGCCTGCTGGAAGAGCAGATTGAAGCTGCCCGGCGGCGAGTCACTCAGTTGCAGCTGAAGATCCAGCAGGAGACGGGTGGCTTAGTGGTGAGTGATAGTAGGCAGAGCTCTAGGATGGGCACCCTGCAGGAGGCCTGGGGGGGATTAATGAGAAAGCGAGAGCAGAAGCTAATAGCTTATAGTTGCAATGGAAATAAATAAATATGAAATAATACTGTTGGCTTTAGTCTCCTAATTATCCATCTCCTTCTGAGTAATTGCCTCATAGTGACATATATATATGTCTACATCACCTTCACTCAGCATTCATCTGGTAACTTTTTCAACACTTATTTCTCAGATCTTTTCAAATAAATACAAGTACTTTTAAAAGTCAGCCTAAGATGCCCGGCCAGGGTGGCTCAGTGGCTGAGCATTGACCTATGAAGTAGGAGGTCATGGTTCAATTTCCAGTCAGGGCGCATGCCTGGGTTGCAGGCTCCATCCCCAGTATGGGGTGTGCAGGAGGCAGCCAATCGATGATTCTCTTATCTTATCTTATCATTGATATTTCTATCTCTCTCTCCGTCTCCTTTCATCTCTGAAATCAATAAAAATATATTTTAAAATAATAATAAAAAATAAAAGTCAGCCTAAGAAAGTATTCCCAGTTAGTTGAGAGGTTTTTATAGCAGCAACTAACGCTACTTTGTGGAAAATCCCAGAGAGGAGACTCAGGTCCTTATCTGTTCTGGTAGGGAGTTTGCTATTGGTAGTGTCTTATCTCTTGCAGGCCTTAATTATTGGGGTACATAGGAAGTAACTTTCCAGAAACTTGAGGATCTCCAAGAGTAGCATTTGCCAAGGCCAAGAGAAATTATTTGAGGATTATCCACTTTCTCCTTTAGAACATCAGATCCAACAAGTCTGGGAAACATAGGCTACTCAAATGTAAGCTGTTTTATTTTCTGAAGGACTTCTCAGTGTCACACGATTGGTTGATAGCTTAGGATCTGGACTTAATACCATCTGGATTCACATCCCAGTGTCCGTGCTCACCAGTCTTGGACAAGTTACTTGATCTCTGGAAGCCTTGGTGGAGATCAGACAGGATCTGCCTGACGGGTTGTTGTCAGAATTAGAGCCTGTCCTCAGCCCGGGGCCTGTGCATGTTGCTGCTGTCACTGCCTGTGTACTCGTGTGCTCTGTGAGGTGCGAGTCTGAATGCAACCCTGGCTTTATAGCTCACTGTTGGGTAGTTTGGGCAAGTTACCTAAGATCTCTGGGCTTCTGTTTCCTCGTTTACAACATGAGAGGTCAACATCAGAGTTGTTGAAAGACTACTTGAGAGAGAGAAAAGAGGGCTTTATAAACAGTGAAACACTATGAATATAATTCTCTCCACATTGGCGGGCCAGCCAGCCGGAGGCCAGCACCTCAGAGATCTGTAGAGATGGGCCTTTCGCATGTGCGCTCAGCATCTGCTGGAGCATTCCATACCACCTGATGGAAGTTCTTTCCGTGTGTAGCCCAACGAAGGCAGTAGATGCTTGATGTCATGGTTACAAATCAAGCGAATTTTTAGCATGTTTCTGCTGGTAAAGTCTTCTTTCTGCCATTAGGGGTCACCATCCTCCTGAAACTGTACAAATAAAGCATTAGCTCTTGTAGCTGGGCATTTTTAAGGCAATAAAGCAAAAGAGGCCACTAACTGTAAGCAGATAGTGTCTGCTGAGACTACGGGAAGGGTTGGTTGGAGGAAGGAAATAGTAGGGAGAGAGGTTAATAGAATTTGCCCACCCTCTGAATCTTTCTTTTTTAGGACATACTTCCACTCCATGGTGACAACAGCCAGAGATCATCAGAAGGTAAGCCCCCCACCACCTTTTCTTCTCCGGCATGTCTCTGTTCCCTCTCCAGAAGGCAGATTCAGGGAAAGAAAACATATAGTATCTGCCTCTGGGAAATAGTGTCGTGAGAAAAAGCAGTGCCAGAGCACAGAAAAATTGGATACAATTCACTCAGTAGAAATGAATGCAGAGCTAGTAGCACTGAGTAGATAAGTGCCAGTAAGAGACTGGAATGATGGCCCAGATGCCACCTTGCCTACCGGCACCTGGCACTTCGGAGCTTAAGAAATACTGTTGCACCCAGGACGGTGTTACTCGGTGGTTAGAGCCAAAGGTTCACAGGTTAGATTCCCAGACAAGAGCACATACCTGGGTTGCAAGTTTGATCCTGTGAGTGGGAGGGAACCCATTAATGTGTCTCTCACATCAATGTCTCTCTTCAACTCTCCCTTCTTCCCTTCCACTCTCTTTAAAAATCAAGTAGCCCTAGCCAGTTTGGCTCAGTGGAAAGAACGTCGGGCTGTGGACTGAAGGGTCCAAGGTTCGATTCTGGCCAATGGTACATGCCGGGGTTGCGGACTCCATCCCCGGTAAGGGGCGTGCAGGAGGCAGCCAATCAATGATCCTCTCTCATCATTGATGTTTCTATTTCTCTCTCCCTCTTCCTTCCTGTCTGAAATCAATAAAGATATATATATATATATATATATTTTTTTTTTTAAATCAATGTAAAAAAGATCCTCAGGTGAAACTGACAACGTCAGAAAACTGAAACAAAAAAGGAAATATTGTTGCAAGAAGAAATGAACAGGACCCAGAGAGAGAGGCAGATGAGGTGACTTGTGAGAGAGAGCTAGGGAGTGTTATTTCAGGAGGTGACATGGCCTGGGCACAGGTGAAAGCTAGTTGTAAAGCGTCTGACTGGAGGGATCATGAGATAAGAGAGACAAAGGGAAACGGAGAGAAAGGAAGGTGGCAGGTTCACCCATATGCCCTGTGCAAGGTTCCTGGTTACGGTTCTCCTTTCCCCAAACCACAGCTCCTGCTTATGTTTGCTTGTCAGGCCGACTTTCTCTGGATTCACAGGACGGGGACAGTGGCTTGGACTCTGGGACAGAACGCTTCCCTTCCCTCAGTGAGGTGAGTGCCAGCAGGGCCAAGCCCGTTTAAAGCTGTAGGTTTAGTGTTTCTTCTGCGGTTGCCAAGGCCTCTGGCCTGTCGTCTGTGGACCTCTTTGATAGTTCCAGTTCTAAGGACTTCAGTCACTCTGCTCTGGGTTCCAAAAAAGAGATTTCAAATGCATCCTACATGAAAGATCACCAAATCTGGCTTCTATCGATATTTCATCATAGCTCCGTGCTATGATGGAGCCCTAGCCAATGTGGCTCAGTGGATAGAGCGTCAGCCTGCAGATTGGATGGTCCCGAGTTCGATTCCGGTCAAGGGCATGAGCCTTGGTTGCGGGCACATCCCCATTGGGGGGTGTGCAGGAGACAGCTGGTCGATGTTTCTCTCTCATTGATGTTTCTAGCTCTCTATTCCTCTCCCTTCCTCTCTGTAAAAAATCAATAAAATATATATTTTTTAAAATAAATAAGTTAAATTAAAAAATAAAAATCAATGGAAAAATATCCTCAGGTGAGGATTAACAAAAAAAAAGTAGGGTGGAGAGAGAGGTGTGTCATTATCTGTAGCAAGCCTTTGAGTGTAAGGGAGCAGAGACAGAAGTCTAAAATCGTGGTAGCTTGGCCCAAAACACATTTCTGCCTGGCTGCAAATACTAGTAACTCGTCCTTGATTAACGCAGTGGCCCCTGCCTAGCAGAAGCAGTGTTGCCTCTCTCTGTCTCAGATCTTTCTGTACTTCTTTCCTGGAGTGGTCAGAGGATTTCACCCTTTGGCCCCAAAGGTCCCTCTTCCAGGTGTTCTCAGTTTGCATATGTAAACTGCAAATATAGACTTGCATATAAAAATACAAGTGAGTGAAAGAAGTCATAGTGATGTTCACAAAGTATATACTTAACCAGGTTAATTGTGTGAACCAGTCATTTAAAATATGTTTAAAACCTAATTTTAAGTAAGAGTTGGAATTTCCTTTCCTTACTGCTCCTGTCCACTTGGGGGAAGATGATGCATGAATGTGAAAGGATCAGCATTCAGGAAAGACATGAAGATGGGGCCAGAAGGTCCTAAATGCTCTACGTTATCTGGAGGGTTCGACATCTGGGAGGCATCCTAGCTTAGTGCAGAGGGCGTGGTTAATGCGGTGAGTCCTTCTGTGTGGTGAGATTGTCCGGTTGAAGCCGGAGAATACCACATTAGTAGCTATTTGACCTCCAGCAAGTCTCCTATCTGCTCCAAGTGCAAGAGTCCTTGTGTGAAAAATAGGAAGAATAATAGTATCTCCCTCAAAGGACTGTTGTGAGAACTAAGTCAGGTACTATATAATCAAGTTATAATGCAGTGTCAGGCACAGAGTTAGTACTGAATTCATATTAGTGTTACCACCAAGTGAGCAGAGCTCTGAGAGTCTTTTGGATAAGTTTCCTTCTCACGGAATTCTCTGTTCCTTTAGTCATTGATAAATCGGAACTCGGTGCTGTCAGACCCTGGACTAGACAGTCCTCGAACCTCCCCTGTGATCATGGCCAGGGGGGCCCAGCACCACAGGTGGCAGGGCTCGGATGCCCCAGCTCCCCCCGCCAGCGACCAGGTGAGTGAATCAAAGCCACCCTGCAGTCTTCCTTCCCCTCTTTCCAAAACTGGGTCACCAGTGCATAGTTTTAAATAATCAAACTAAACCTCTGTTTTGAGATACACACTTACCTAAAGAATAAATGGTAAAGAAAGAACTTGTTATCAGTAAGTGCATGAAAGTAAGACCATCGGCTCTGTGTGAAGAGTCAGTGAACACATCTGAAGCGAAGTGATGCCTAAGGAGAGGGTAGGTGATCTTTCAGTGTCTGTATAAAACAGGGAATAGGTTTGTTTAGTGTTTCTCCAGAATAGTAATAGCAAATTACTCTGTCTTTAGCAAACTCCTTTTTGTAAACATGATCTTATTATCTATCACCCTAATATGGAGAACAAATAAAAGCTCAGGTACCTGGGACCTTCCCCGATTACCCTCCCCTCACCCTCAGGGGCTCTTCCCTGGGACCTGAGCTTCCGCACAGCCTGACCTACAGCCACTGCTTTGAAGGGGACAGCTGGGTTCCAGGGAGGTTTCAGGAAGACAGGTGTCTGCTCCAGGCAGAGAGCTTTCCAGGAATCTGGGCTGTCTGACGACGGGAGGGTGGGCTGGAAAGCCAGGGAATTGCTTGTTGTCCAGGCAGGAGGCCGGTCCTGCCCATTAGAGACACTGGAAAGAGAACTCTGAGTTTTGTAAAACGGTGTCTCTTACAATCCATCTGCTACCACCATAATGATTTTTTTTTTCCATAGTCTCAAGCCAATTGTATAATGTTACATAATATTTTTCCTTAAGCTAACTCACTTTTTTATACTTCAGTTTATTTTAAAGCAGTTCCCTCATTCCCTTACAATAAAACCAGTATCACACACTATTTCATGCTTTAGTTATACCCCCAGGATAGAGTTTGGTTACTTTCAGCTCATGGAGGGAGAATGGTGGGGAAATGGGCCTTCCTTGTATTAAAATGCCTAGTGCACCAGCTGCTGTGCTAGATCTTTAGGAAAAAATGCCTCATTTAATTTTCCCCGTCAGGAAAGGAAGTAGGCATCAGTATCTCCATTTGTAAGTGAGACAAGTGAGGCCAATAAAGGCAAAGGGACTATTCAGGGACTCAGCTTGGTAACGGCAACGTCAGACAAGCACTTAGTTCTCCTGAGCCCCAGCCAGGCCGCTCCTCCCCCACCACTCTCTGGGTGGCCCTCCCCACCTCCTGGGAGGCACTGCAGAACCAGGTGAGGGTCCGAGGGAGGTTCGCATGCTGATCTTAGGGAGGGTTTCTGGCAGGTGGCTCATAGGAGCAGTAATCAGTCTGGGAGTCCATTTTTTCTTCCTTTGAATCTGTTCATCTTCTGAAAACTATTTAAATTGCTATTTTTGAGTGATAAGAGCAAATATAGTATAGTTTCAATTTCTTAACAATAATCTATGTTAGTAAGAGTCTGGAGAACCTGTACTATCCATGACACTGTCAGCAGCAGGGCATGGGATCAAAGGGAACTTTCTTTTACATAATCCTGAATTGTTTGGTTATTTTATAATAAGCATATTCTACTTTGTAATCAGAAAAACTAAATATTTGTAAAGACTTAAAGAAAAACAATCCTCCCCAAAACAAGCAAAAACCTGGTGCTTTCAGGTTCTGAGAGCCAAGTAGAGGCATCTAGCACCTCTCCTTCCTCCTCTTCTCCCCTGTCCCACAGCCCCCCGCCCCACCCCCATCCTCTGAGATATACAATATAGCACAGCAGGCTTCACTCTGCAGCTTTGCACTTGCCATTCAGTCTCTCTGGGCCTCACCTTCTCATTTTTAAATGAGTGCTAGACTCTGAGGTGTCTTCCAGGTCTCTCACATTTGTGACTCAGTGATTCTGGGCTTAGAGTCTATATAACCCAGGAGAACAAAGGTGAGTGAGGAGTAGCATGTAGGACTGTCAGGAAAAGCCCCCTAGATGGTGGATTAGGAAGTATCTGAGGCCTGGAAAGAGGGAGGGCCTGAGTAATCTTAGGTGGGCTCCAGAAGCTGAGCCCTTGTTGGGAAGTTGTTAGAACTGAGGTAGGTTAAATTGAGAGGAAAATATAGTTGCTAAAAAAGCTTTGAACTTGCAAGAAACCTGTAGGAGAAAGCCTTGTTCATCGCAGCATCTGAAAAGTGTGTGCAATTTGAAATACCGTCATATCTTATGTCGATGGCACACCAGTGAGAGTTAGGTGATTAAAATTGGCATAAGAGGGAGAAAGAAAAGCCAATCTAAGAATTTGGGATTCCAGACAGGTAATGGATGTCTGCCATAGACCTTGAACAGGCAAAGGACGTGCCCAAGGAGATAGACATGGACTGTTAGGCCCTCCAGACAGGTCCGGCTTCAGGTGCTGTCAGTGACTATCAGGTAGACACAGTAACTATCAGGTAGCAGTGTGGTAGCTGCTGGACGTGGAGTGGGGGTATGTTTAGTGTGGGGCGGCTGTTTAGGAGAACAACAAAGCCTGCACCCAACAGGAGTGAGGTTCTTATTTTGTTGGAATTCCCTCCCCAGTTCTTTTGAAAACAGGAAGAGAGCACTTTCTCTCACTTCCCATCTTCTATGTCCTGTGACCAGGATCCTCTGAGTCGCTTCCCGCCTCCCCCTCTCCCCACCCCCCATGCACTTGACTTCCTGCAAGTGGAAATCCTATTTTCTGAGATTTGGGGATGGTAGTGAGATGTCATTGTTTGCCAGACACATGTGGCTTTCCCAGTGAGCGCTGTGCTCTTACTAAACAGGCTTCATCAAGGGATTGGATCCCCTGTCCTCTAACCTCTCATCTCTACCACTCGGCTCTCTCCCCCAGGGTGTAGATCAAAGCCCAAAGCCTTTAATTATTGGCCCAGAAGAAGATTATGACCCTGGTTATTTCAACAACGAGGTAACGGTTTCCTGGTTTTCTCCTTTCATCATTCTTTGTCATGTGCGCTGCTCTCGACTGGGGGCAGTTTGATTACACGATCTGGGAGGGAATGAGGAGGAGGGAGCCACCGCTTAGAAACCCTGGGAGCCAAGAACTTGGGCACTAAACTGGAACAGGCCCTGCGGCCGCGCCCTGCCACTGTGTCCCAGCCAGTCTCCTTCTGCCTTCCAGAGCGACATCATATTCCAGGATCTTGAGAAACTTAAGTCACGGCCAGCTCACCTGGGGGTTTTTCTACGTTACATCTTCTCTCAGGCAGACCCCAGCCCACTGGTAAGTCAGAAGGGTCCTTCTTGACTGAGTGTCTGCTTGCGCTTCACCAGCGGAGCTGGGGTCTCGGCAACATTCCCAAATGAAGATGACCCCTGCTCTGTGGCCCCATTAGCATCTCCGGGACGTGGATAAAGTGTAAAAGGAGGGAAACTTCAGTGAAGGGAGGCTTCACTGCTACGCACATCAACAACATAGGGAGAAGCAGCAAGAGCAAGGCCGGGACAGCGCGTTCCTGGTCAGCGTGGAAGGGGTGGTCTGCTAGAGGTTTTTGAACAGAAGTGGGTAAAAGGGGAGCTGAGAGTGGCCCTCGGGAATATACGGTGTTACTACAAGATAGCGAGGCACAGGGGCAAGACATAAAAGGGCCTTGGATCTGAAGGTGATAAGAAGGACGAGGCGGTGACAGGCCAGAGTGCCCTGGAACAGTGCTCAGAGCCAGCAGCCTTACCAGCTGCTCTCACCCTGCTCAGCTGCTTCGAAAGGAAGCGGAATGAAGGAGCGAGCTTGATGTTATGCTCTTTAGAATAACCTTGCCCAAGGCAAAGACTACTGGTTTTTCTTTCTGGGGATTCCACTATGAGCAGCCAGTCAGTATCCGTTTGCTCAACAGATGCCTTTGGGTACTTGTGTGTAAGTCCCAAGGGCTGGTGTCTCAACTACATTCCTGAATGAAGGAAGCTCATCAGTCACAGAGAGAGAAGGCAGGGCCCTTAGAAAACCGTCTGTCAGCAAGTGCAGGACACAGAGTGTCCGTGCAGGAAGGTTACAGAGTTGAGGCAGTTGTGTTGACTATGGTGCGTGCAAAGGCAGAAAGGGTACCTTATACTCCTGAAACGCCCTGAGCTGGGGTTCCTCAGCCTCCGCATTGCCTGACGTTCTGAGCTGTAGTGTGGTTGGCTGGGGGGGGGGGGGGGGAAGAGCACTGCGAGGGGGGCTATTGTGTGCATTCCAGGATGTTTAGCTACATCCCTGGAGTCTACCAACTAGACGGCAGTAGCACCTCAGGTGTCTCCAGACATTGCTAATGGCCTCCTGGGGGCAGAGTCCCTCCTGGTTGAGGACTAACCTCAACCCATCTTCTCCTCTCCTCCCAGCTTTTTTACTTGTGTGCAGAAGTTTATCAGCAGACAAACTCCAAGGATTCCCGAAGCTTGGGAAAAGACATCTGGAATATTTTCCTAGAGAAAAATGCGGTATGACAGTCATGGGTTGGATTACAATTTATGACACTCTTTGGGCCATTCAGAGACAGGAAAGACTAAGCAAAACATTCAGGCCAAATGCAAACAGGTTCTTAAAGAGAAGTGTGGGCTAAGAGATTGGGCTCCCAATTCTGTTCTGGCTCTGCTCTTAGAGCTCATCTGCTCTGGAGACCTCTTTTGTTCCGCATGCACCACAATGGAACACACATCCTCTGAGAGGCTCTCTCCTGGAACAGTGTCCCCAGCCCTTCCTGCCTCACTCATCCCTGGTATTAGAAATAGGCTCAGAGACATCGGATGAGCCAGCTGACTGCCCTCAGGCAGAGTCCAGAGGGAGGGCAGCCCAGAGAATGGGCCACAGATGAGCACCGCATCTGGGCTTAGTTCCCAAGGATGCTGCAGGGACCCGGCTGGCGGCAGCTCCCTCTTAGACCGTCTAATCTGATTAACTGAGCCAGTTCCAACATGACTCTTCCTCTGGCTGCTAGGACTAATGAGTGAGAAATGAACTGTTTTTCCTCAAGATGTTCGTTGTTGCCCCTTAGATGGGTCTTGAATAAGGAGATTAGAGCTGCAGGTTGTTCCCTGTTGGTTGTTGTGGAATCGCCCAGCTGTCAGGTACTCGGAGCAAAAGCCAGAACATGCTCCCAGGAGACTGGGTCACAGAAGACCCGCTCCCTGGGGGCGCAGGCAAGGGCAGTAAAGCCAACAGCCTAACAAAGGTTCTCCTGCTGCTGTGTTAGCACCAGTCCTCCTGCTTAGAACATCATCCTGTACACTCTGATGTCCTTGAAATAAGAGTGAAGAAGCCGCATGTCCCACCCTCGGTGTGGTCTCGGCTCACTCTGTATTCTCAGGTTCAATTTCTCCAAACCCTCGCCTGGAATTCAGGTACAGGTGGGGGATGGTGAGAGGAGAGCCGGATAGAGGTAGGGAAAGGGAGAGAGGGCAGTGCTGTCTCCCACGTCCCCTGGGGGTGGGAACTCACCACTTCTACTCCCCTCCCCCTTCTGTTTTTTAGCCACTGAGAGTGAAGGTCCCAGAGGCGTTACAGGCTGAGATCGGTAAGTTGGCTCATTGGTCAGTGAGTGCCCATCCCATCCTGGGCGCTCGGGGGCTGCAGAGCAGAGGGGCCTTATCCCTGTCCCAGGCAGCTGTCCTCTAATAGGGGACATAGAGACAGTGCCTCCAGCACGCCTCAGCACACGGACAGGCCCTGCCCGGAGCTTTGCCTGCTGGAGCGTCTCACAGAAGCCACAGCTTGCTAGGAGACCAGTGCTCATTCCTGCCAGCCTTCCATGTGACCTTCCTGGGCCTCAGTTGGGTCATCTGTACAAAGAGAAAAGTGGTGCAGTCAGGGGTTCCTAAGCCTGGCCGGTCATCAGAATCGCTGGGGAACTCTCTACAAGCACAGAAACCAAGGCCTCACACCACCCACCCACAGAGCTGGGGTCTCGGGGTGTTGTACGTTCCTCAGCTCGTGCTGCCCGCAGCTGGCCTGGAATGACCTAGGTGAGCACTTCGCTCCCTTCCTCTGTCCAGTCCCAGCCAGAGGGTGGATCCCAGCCAGTTTTCCAGAAGATGGAATTTGAAGCTGCCTTTGGAGAGAGGGTGGCAGGAAGGAAAGCTCATGGGCACAGGCGAAAGGGTGAGCAGAGATTGCTTAAAAGCAGAAAGGGAGCCGCCACTGCCAGGAACTTGGCCATGGCTGCGGGAAGCTAGGTGCGGGCAGGAGAGGCAGTGTCTGGGAGTGGGTTTCCTACGAAGTGCTGGCCCTGGGGCCAAGGAGGAGCCTCTCAGACGCACGCCCTGGTGTCTGAGAGCAGCATCTAGACACAGCCCAGGAGAGGGCTTTAATATTTTCTCCACTTAACAGAGGACATCCAGAAAATGGTCTCGTCCTTGCCTTGGGGCTTGCACATCGGGATTCTAGTCCTGAAAGCGGGAATGCCTGCTAAGTCCAGGCCTCCGCTTCCTTTGGCTAACAGGAGGGCGGAAAGCTAGCCTCCCTCCCTTTAACACGCTCTGCTAATGTAATCTCCTCCTCCCCACGCCCTTCCCCATTTCTGTCTCTGGTCCCACCGCAGACTTGCGCTTGCGGAGCGGCGAGGACTTGCGCAGCGTTCTCGGTGAGGCTCAGGAGGCAGCCATGCCGGAGATCCAGGAGCAGATCCAGGACTACAGGTGGCTGGCCCTCTCTTCCCTCTGCTCCTCGCCCCTTTTCTTTCCCCCGTGACGTGTGTGTGTGTGTGTGTGTGTGTGTGTGTGTGTGTAGCTCACATTTCTGGGTATCTGTCAAGCATTTGTGTACAGTTGTGTCTCTCTGGCTCAGAACGAAGCGCACACTGGGACTGGGCAGCCTGTACGGTGAAAACGACCTGCTAGAGCTGGATGGGAACCCTCTCCGAGAGCGCCAAGTGGCCGAGAAGCAGCTGGCTGCCCTGGGAGATATTCTGTGAGTCTCCAGTTCCTATTACCCCCAGAATAGGGTGCCTTTTTTTTAAATCTATTTTTCAGAGAAAAAGGAAGAGGGAGAGAGAGATCGAAACATCAGTAATAATAGAGAATCGTTGATCTGCTGCCTCCTGCATGCCCCCTACTGGGGATCAAGCCTGAAACCTAGGCATGTGCCCTGACCGAGAATTGAACCAGCGACCTTTTGGTGCACTGGACACACCCAGCCGATCCACACCAACCAGGGCCGTGAGTTTTCTGCTTCCCCTTCGTAGCCCTCTGCCTGACTGGTCTCCCTTCCTGTCCCTTAGATCAGATCTAACTGAGCGTGAGGGGCACACAGTCTCCATTGGATCCAGTTACTTCAGGAGATGGATAGGACTGGCCGACAGCAGACTGGCCTGACTAAGCGTACTAAAGAGCCTCTGGCAGAGCTGTGCGGTGGCTCCTTCCCAGTCCCATTTTCTAAGGTGTTAGAGCTCCTGTGCTGGCTTTGTGGGCACTTCACCCCAATGCCGCTGCTTAACTCAGTAGTTCTGTGACCTTGTTCAAGCCTTAGTCTCACTTACAAAATGGCAAAAGTTGGACTAGACGTTCTCCACAGTCTTAACACTGATTTTTCAATTCAGCAGCTGTTTCTGGAGTCTCTGTGCGCCTAGCACTGCTCTATGCTCCTGGGATATAATACATTCGTAAACCAAACAATGCTTCTTGTCGAGCTGTTGTTATAGTGGGAAGAGAAAACAATGTATAATAAATAAGTAAATTATATAATAGATTGGAAAATAGTAAGTGCTGGGAGGTGGCAGGAGCTCCAGAGCTTGGGGGGAGGGGAGGGTGCAGTTTTAATTAAGAAAGTGGGGAATTATCCTTGCAGACGTTGAGGAAAGAGAGTCGCAGGCAGAGACAGCAGTCAGGGCAAAGTAGGAATGTGCTTGGCATATTTGAAGAATGGCAGACCGATGTGGCCAGAGCAGATTCAGAAAGACGGTCTGAGGGCAGCAGGGAGATTAGCCACCTAGCACCTGTGACTGGGAAGCCTTTGGAGCTGTGAGGGACTCGAGAGGGCGGGGGGCTGGGGAGAGCAGGAAGAGCTCCAGACATTGAGGGAAGTCAGTTCCCAAAACCATGCAGTGGGGCGTGGCCCAGGGGGGTGGCCATGGAAGCTGGGGAGAGATGTCAGTTCTCAGTCTACTTTGACAGAGCAGACTGGTTTCTTTTAAAAAGTCAAGGAAGGCGCCATGGTTTTTTAACCTAAGCTATTAACAGGACAAAGGAAGGAGCCATCACTCGGGATAGAAATGACTGTGGAGCAGTCTGTAGTAGGCCATCTGGGGCTCAGAGGGTCGGGAGATGTATTTTTAGACATCAACCTGGAGAGCTGAGTAGCAGCTGCCTGTATGAAGCTGGTATTTGATAAGAGGTCTGGGCTGGATGGAGGTGAGACTAGATGAGATCGGACGGGGAAGGCATATTCTCTGACAACAGTCCTCTGACCTTCAGCCGAGCCCTGAATCCTCCTGGCCTTAATTTCCCTCCCAGTCAGATGGCAGTAATCACCCAACCAGGCCAGGGATGGAGGCAAAACCTGACCGCCCATTCTGAGATTGGAGCACCACGGAATTATTTGGGATTATTACAGAAGCATAAGTACTTCACTTCTAATGGCTTCCACTTAAAGCAGGGGAACTTCAGTCTCATTACATGGACCGTCTCATGGGTTATTTTTAGAATTAGATGAGTTAATACTTGTTAGTAGATTAGGATAGGCCAGGCCCATAGTTAACACTCAAATGGAAGTTTCAGTTACTGTTTACTAACCTCTTTAAATAGGTTTCTTTGAATCGGGTCCCAAGGTATTCTCTCGCTCTCTCACCTTCTTTCCTCTGACCTCTGTGTCAGCCCAGCCCAACCCCTCCTTTAATTCCAAGCGGACAAAAGGAGGCGCCTCTTCCTCCATAATAACTTCAGAGGCAGAAACAGGTACCAGGCAGAAGCTGGATTTTCACATTCTCCTTCGTTAGCTAGAAGGACATCATCGTTAAAACTGTGGATGGAGGCCCCCGAGAGAACCAGAGCCCTCCTCTCCTGACCCCACACTGGCTCTAGAGCTGAGACCCAGAGTCACACCTGACCTTTCACCATCCTCCACCCTCCTCCCCACACCCCCTTCCTTCCAGTCTGCACCGGCGGAGGGGAAGCCACTGCCCTTGCAGTCTGAGTCATCTGTTCTTTCTTTTGTTCCAGGTTCAAATACGAGGAAGACAGGAGGTGAGTGAGCCTGTGGTGTAGTTTCAAGGTGGGAAGGAATGAGGTTGAGCTGCTGTGCTTTTCCATCTCTGCTAATCACAGAGTCCCCCGCATTGTAGGATCGCCGCCCGTCCCTGGTGGCACCGTCTGTGTCACCACCACGCAGCCAGCTCATGAGGTCCAGGCCCTAATACTCAGGATCGCTGCCTGGGATGGGCGTCTGCTTCTCAGTGTGAGGACGCTGAGCTGCCATCGCTCACAGTATTCCCATACCTTGCATCCCTTCCCCCAAATTAGCCCTGGTCTCCCTCGCACTGTTCCCTCCTGGCCCACCTAGAAGAGGAGGGTGTAGGACGGCCTGTGAGAGCAGCACCTACAGAAGGGAGCTGACCTACAGCACATTTTCTCTCTTGGCACACATTATTTTTGCAGTCTGGACACAGGTCTTTGTTTCTCAGCAGCAGCATGCATTCCCTGAGCACCCACACTTCCTCGGGGAGCAGGGATGGGGTTGGAAGTCTCTGTAGAAGAAGAGGAAAACCAGGGCAGCAGCATTTGCTGCACTGAACCCACCAAGTAGATAATCTACCAAATTGAGAGCCAAATCCATTTTTAAACACAGAGCTCTGGACAGTTTCATCTGTGGCAACTGAAAGCTACTTGACAGCTCCCTTCCGTCCTTTCTCTCTGTCCTTGGCTGGGGGCGGATGGCGAGGGCAGTCTGCCTTAGAAGAGGCCGGTTGGTGCTTCTCCCCCTCCCTGTGCCACTCCACCCCCAAGTAAGTGCCTGAGGGCACGAACTGGGTCCTCCCCTGGCCCTCCAGGTCTTCCCACGGCTGGTTTGCTTCCATTGTAGGGAACTGACATGTCCTTCCACTGACCACTATCCCCGTGTTAGGAAGAATTCTGCTCATGAAAAGTCCAATTTCTGCTTGGAGTCATGGCAGCCAAGACTTCTCGCCAGCTACTGCCTGCTGCCCTGTTTGAATATTCCAGGCCTCCCTCTGACTGCCCTGGCCCCTGCCTACTGCTTTGCCACCCTGCTGGGTGGTGTTGAGGAACCAAAGCAGCATTCTTGCCCTTCCCCATGCTGTCAGAGACATGGCTGAGCTCTCTGAGACAGCACCCCACTCCTGCCTTCCAGCGCCCCCATGGACTTCGCCCTCAACACCTACATGGGCCATGCTGGGATCCGGCTTCGAGAGGCCCGGTCTTCCGTCGCGGCGGAAAAGGCCCCGTTGCCTGCTCCTGACAAGTGGCTGCCCTTCTTCCCGAAGACCAAGAAGGTAACAGAGCCACCCTATCGTGTCTTCTCTTGGCTCAGCACTGAGGCAGGCTGGGAAAGCCCTTTGGCAGGTATCTAGCTCGTCCCACCACCTATAGCCATGGTGAAAATCCTCTCTTCCTTCCTCCGAACCTAGTTAGGACCAGCATGACCCTGCTCTCCTTATTTCGGGCCAGTCTTCGGAGCAGCAGCAGAGTGATCAGTGGCCAGATCTGGGCATTGGGATGGTCCCCGACCCCCAGGTCTCTTTCCTCAGCAGAGCAGCAATCCCAAGAAAGAAAAGGATGCCCTGGAAGACAAGAAGCGGAACCCCATCCTCAAATACATCGGGAAGCCCAAAAGCTCGTCCCAGAGCAGTAAGTACTTGGGGAGCAGCAGCCTCCGGGGGGCCTCAGCCCCTTCATAGAACAGCATGAGGGCAGGAGGTGCCCGGGGTTTCTGAGAGCCACAGGCCCCAACTCTGAGACGCAGCTTCCTCTTGGAGCTACTGGGTTCTCCCCTGGCCACACCACTGCAGGCGCTCTGAGGAGCAGGGAACTGCGCCAGAGCCACGTGTAGCGCGGAGCAGCCATGTGGGGGACTTCCCCCCTTGGCAGCATTGCTCTGTTGACACCGAGTGCCGCCTTCACCTTCGTCTGTACGCCTGAGGGCCTGTGTGTTGGGAGCACTTATGGGCCCTTGATGGGGAACTGAGTTACTATTAAGCAGAACTAGTTGGAAAGAGGGCAGGTTTGGAGCCCAGAGGTTCCCTGAAAGCCATCAGTAACCCAACTCAGCTAGTCCCGTCATTGATTTCTTCCCCATTGTGTCACTTGTCTGGAAATTGCTGCTGGCCCTTGCAGTCATTTCCTGAGACCACTGATACTAGTCCTGGAAGTCTGCGAAGGGCCTGGGGTGGGGCTGCTGCCTTTTCTGAAGTTGTTGGGGGGGGGCGCGCGGGGGGGGGGGGGACAACTCCTAGATCAGCCCTGATTTTTGCCATGACATCCGTTTTCCAGCTTGATGTGAATTTTATTTTACTTTGACTTTTCATGGTTTACTTTTGTTTTTGTTTGTTTTTTAGCATTTCATATTCCCTTGTCCCCTGTGGAAGGTAAAAGGACCATTTTCTTTGAACTTTTCTTTGCTTTAGCATTGATTTTCCATTTCCCAAATCCCATCTTTCCTTCCCATTTCTTTCTTCATCCTCTCCTCCTGTCCTGCCCCTCTTCCTTCCCTCCCTTTCCTTATTCCACTTTTTACACGCTCCTCCTCGCTGCTAACACTGCTCTGGGACACACGACACTGCCCGGGGCTCCCGCCTCACACTTGCCTGTTGCAGGGGTGAAAGGCCAGGACACCCCTCCTCACACTGTCCCCCAGTCTGAGGCTCCCTCTGCACTCTGCCACCGTTCCATGGATGAGGCGCCAACCGTCCAGGATTTTATAGAAATGAGGGAAACCCTTGCACATTGAAATGTCCTGCACAAGTTCCTCAGATTTTTATTTTCAATCGAAATAACAAAAATCCTTTTTTTTTTTTTTTTAAGGTTACAGGGTTTTGTGGGTTTTTAAAAATAAATAATGGGTCTCCAGCAGTTTTTTTGGGGGGGTAGTTATAATTTATATCACCTGCTTTTAATTTTTATCATCCACCTATATAAACTTTTAATTTATATCATCCACCTATATAAACTTTTAATTTATATCATCCACCTAAAGGGAATGCATAATCCCTTTAGTATAGTACCTCCATCTTTTTAACTCTTAATTTTATCAGCACTAATTATACAGCAGTTTTTAAAAAATGACCCTATCATAGCTGGTTTGACTCAGTGAAGAGACCATCGGCCTGTGGACTGAAGGGTCCCAGGTTCGATTTTGGTCAAGGGCAGATGCCTGGGTTGCAGGCTCGATGCCCAGTAGGGGGCATGCAGAACTACCTACCGATCAATGATTCTATTTCATCATTGATGTATCTATCTCTCTCTCTCCCTCTTTCTCTCTGAAATCAATTAAAAATATATATTAAAAAGAATGACCCTGATATGTAGAGTACCTGTTATCTATCTTCTAAAACATGTATATGAAAACATACATACATAATACACATTAACCCAAAGAAGCTAGAACTTAAAATTATACAAGTTCATTTCCCATCAGCGAGGGAATATTTAAGTGATTAATATTTCTAGGTTCTATAATAAATGTATGAAGATACCAGTGGAATGCAATCAAGAAATGATTCTGTTGCTAGAATTCATTCTATGTAAAAGTGTCAATAAAAAATAATCTATAAAAATAAACTATAAAAATTTTTAAATTATTGAATGCCTAGATTCATTATGCTGTTTAAACAACAAAAATAATGATTGAAAAAGTGATTATAAAACAATATTTAAAAAGTAAAAGAATGGCCTTGAAACCCAGGCCCTTAGTTTTAACACAGACTTCATCCCGTCTGCCCTGCCCAAGGAAGGTGTGAGGCAAGCATCAGCTTTAAGAGGCTTTGTGTCCGTCTGAGGGGACGGGAACGCCCAGCGTGGAGCTGCCGAACCTGGGGCAGGACGGGGATGCTGGGTGTTCACCATCTCTTTGAGTCAGATCTTTCAGTTGTGATATTATGATTTGGTTTGTGTTCTCAAATTCTCAGGACACCAGACATACCCATATCCATATCTAAAGACCATATATCCACCAAAGCTAGAAAATCTCAATATTGAGTTTTGCCATTTAGGATGATCAACTCTTGCTCGTTTATTAGTGAGAATATCGGATTGTTAGTAACATAATATAAAAGGCTACTAGTGAAACCTTGCTTTTTTATTTATATTTTTATTGATTTCAGAGAGGAAGGGAGAGGGATCGAGAGAGAGAAACATCAATGATGAGAGAGAAGCATTGATTGGCTGCCTCCTGTACACCCCACACTGGGGGCATGTGCTCTCACCAGGAATAGAACCGTGACCTCCTGGTTCATAGGTTGATGCTCAACAACTGAGCCACAGCCAGCTGCACAAAATGTGCTACTTCCCACCAACTTTCCCCTGTGGCTAAACAGCTGACCCTGGCTCCTGCTGTTCTGCTACTCCACAGTCCAGATGCACATTCAGTCCGGGCAGGCAGGTCTGGCTCTATGCTCAGAAACAGGAGTGATGGAAATACGCCTACTCCTGTCACATACACACAGCCCCTGTCGGACAGTTTTAGTTACCTGCCTAAAGGATATGAAGTTGTGCGCTTTGAGGAGATCAACTAAATGTTATTTATCTGTTTCCTGTGGCTTGGAAATTTTCTTATGAAACTGAGATTTTGATATATAGGGAGATTTGTAAGTTTGTAGATATCAGAATCTGAAGCTTGGGCGGGACATGAGTCAGTTGGTTAGGATCAGGGCCCGCCCTCTAGAGGATCTGCCTTGTCCTGCCCCCCACCCCACCCCCAGTCCCACTTATCCTCCCTTTGGTCTCAGGCAGAGCGGCATTTCTGGCCCAAACCTGTTCAGATATCACTGAACTTGGAGCTGAGCTAGTTGGCTTTGAAGACGAGAGCCCTGAGCCCTGAGCCAGAAATGTCTCCTCCAGGTGTCTGCATGGCATCGCACATGCCTTTTTACCCTGTTGCCCTGTCTGCTTCTTTGAACAGGAATAGCTCTTTTGTCTTAGCTTTGAAAAGGGGCTGGAATGTGAATGCCAGAAATGACATCTCTTCTTTGTTCCTCCTAAGACCCCTCTCACTGGTAATGAAGGGTTTGATTCTATAATGATGGAGACCAGGGATGGGGGGCGTGGAGAGCAGAAAGAACAGGAAGGAAAACTCAAAAGACGAACAGAAACCATGAACTCTAAAAGTAATATAAATTTGGAAAGTGCTGGATATAATTTGGCACCATGGCCAGATGACACATAGATACATTTTTTGGTCCCCCTAGGTATTTTTTTTAACCTATATGTGGAGCTTGAGAAAAACCTAGTCACAATTTTCAAGCAGAAGAATCATTGTGATAAAGAACGTGGGAGTCAAAAGAAATATCCATAGAATACGTACATCTGAACCCTGTCATTTTGCAGATCAGAAAGAGCAAACCCAGCAAGATAGAGGGACTGCCCAGGCCACCTTCGTGTCAGCAGAAGAGCCAGGACTAGACTGTGCCTCCTGTTCTCAGCCCCACACTGTTCTCCTCCATGCTTGCTCCTTGCTTTGTCTTTGGGGTTAGAGGGGAGCGAGAGTCCTAAGCCCTCGTCCTTATACAGAAAGCAGAGTGCCCTCTGTTATCTTTCTCTTCTAGTTAAACCGGGCAACGTGAGGAACATCATTCAGCACTTTGAGAACAACCAGCCATATGATGCCCCGGAACCCGGGATGCAGCGACTCTCGACAGGAAGCTTCCCCGAGGACCTGCTGGAGAGCGACAGGTAGCAGTGGCTGGATGGGCGCTGCCCGAGGAGGGGGCCTGGGTAGGGTTCGGAGCTTAATTCCAGCTACGTTAGCCCCTACACTGGACTGGGAGACTCTCCCTTCCTCAACCTTCCCACCGTGTATCTTCAGAGGAAGACGTAATAGGTGTGGCACTCAGGCCAGCAGAAGAGAGAGCAGGGTCCCGACCTCCCAGCCCAGGAACCACAATCCCTTAAAATTTCCTTCAGATTCAACCCTGCCTTCTCAGCAGCCTTCATCCCAAGAATGAGCTCGATTATAATATGAAGCAACTGATCAGGAAACCCTAAGTGACAAGGCTAGCGGAAACTGTGAAGGGGAAGAAGGGACTTGTTCTTGACTACGGCATGACTACAGTCAACGCCTAAATGAAATTTGCTCGTAGTCGGAAATGTCCGTGCACATTTCTTAAAGTCACCCTTGAGGTGCAGGAGTGCGGTCTTCTGTATACGAGATTAGTGAACAGTGCTGTGAGCACTCGCGTCTGAGCCACTGGGCTAGACTCTTACAATTAAAGGCAGGCACAGAGGCAACACAGCAAGTAGCAGCCTTCATAACCTCTGAGATGCCTAATGATTAAATCATGTCAGACAGTCCTTCTTGTGTGCAAGGTTACTCCTTTTTGTTAAGTTTAATACGTGTTAAATGATTTTGCTAAATGAGAATTAACAAAGATTTAATCTCATAAAAGATTTGCACTGGGATGAGATTGAATTCTCACATTACTGAGTAAGTTAAATATAGAAATTATGTAATTGCTGGGGTAGGCATAGTCATATAGATGACCAAATACACAATTATAAGATATATCAATATTTTGATAGAATATTTGAGACCAATTGCAAATTTGTATTCTTGAAGTTGCTGGGTATATTTGCCCTAAGATGTTCACTAGGATCCTAAGTTCACAGAAGCCTTTGGATTTGGTGACGAAGCTCACTGGCAACCTCAGAAATAGTTTTAGCAAGTGGATCAGAGGTGGTCGTAGATACTTAGAAGGTCTGAGAAGCGCCCAGTTGTAGAAGGCAGTCCCAGAGGTGGGTTATGTGCCTCACTTCCTGGTGGGAGTACGATTCACTTATGGGCACTGAAGGAAGTTACTTAGCTCTGCATCCCAGTAACCTGGCTGGATGAAGTTTGTCGAGCTAAAGTGACCCACTGGGGGCACTGGTGAACGTGTTTTGAGTTAGTCTGGATTGGAATTATTCTCACAATTTTCGGGGGTGAGAGGTTAGTAGGGGATGAGTGAGCAGTGTGGTTTCTAACCCTGCTGATGATGGAGGCCCCATGTAGATCCTCTGACAGTACGGAGACACTTGATGAATTGAGACCAAGCCATTAGGCTCCTATGTAGCAGCGTGCTGTGCTCCTGTGGGCCTGGATGCATGGCAGGATGTGGTGTTAGTAATAAGCAGCCCAGCAGGGAGGCGACGTCTGGGCAGTAAGGGTCCAGAGATGCTGCTCTCTCAGGGCGGATGTGCTGCAGGACCCGAAAGGGCCACACCCACTTGTCAGCGTTTCGTGGAGCCCCAGAGACGCTCAGTGGCCAAACCGGGAAGCAGGTTCCTAATGGTCAGTCAGCAGCTTTTGTAAGTGAGCTTCCAAGCTGTCTGCTTCCAAGAAAGGAAATGGAAGCTTGGGAAGGATCCTGTGCAGTGAAGAATGGAAGAAATCTGCATTGAATGGAGGGGCAGTGCTCTGTCAGCAGACAGAATGCTCTGGCAGGCAGTGTAGAAAATGCTAGAATGAGTGTGTGCAGACCTTTCCTCGTAGATAGATGACCTTGTGAAAGGAGGGGTCCGGCTCACGCGGGGTCTGCAGTGGGAGCTGCCTGTTCCATAGCAGAGGGCAAGATGGTGGCCAGGGTGGGACCTGGCAGTCCAATGGGTGCTTTCCTGGCATTAGGACATGCAAGTCTGATTCTGTTAGTTCCAGATTTCACTTTCCTGTTAGGATTGCTTTCTGATGGGTCCTGAGCAAGGCGAGAGGCCCTGTCCTTCCCGGCCCGGTGCGGGAGAACCTTGTAGAGCAGCAGATTCCTCTAGGAGTTTTCGTGTTTGGGTGGATCTCGGTGTTTGGGCCTCTTGTGGGGCTGGGGTGGAGGACCTGCGTCGCTGAGGTGCCGTTGAGATGGGCAGCAGAGGGAGCTGCCAGGACATCGGACCCCAGGTCTCTGCCTTTTCCCAGCTCGCGCTCAGAGATCCGCCTGGGCCGCTCGGAGAGCCTGAAGGGCCGGGAGGAGCTGAAGCGCTCCCGGAAGACGGAGAACGTGCCCCGCTCCCGTAGCGACGTGGACATGGACGCCGCCGCCGAGGCTGCCCGCCTCCACCAGTCAGCCTCGTCCTCCGCCTCCAGCCTCTCCACCAGGTGCGCAGGCTCTGTGCTCAGCCCCCTGGTACGGCAGGGGCAGGGGCAGCGGGTCTGAGAGTTAACTTCCTCTCCACAGGTCTCTGGAGAACCCCACTCCTCCCTTCACCCCCAAAATGGGTCGCAGGTGAGTGATGGGTGCGGCAGCACTTCCCGTTGGTGTCTGAGTTCCAGCCACGTCCCACTGTTTCTCCCACCCGAGTGGCTGGTTGGTGTGCATTTCCTCCGTGGCCTGTGCTCCCCAGTGGGCACGGGGCAAGCAGATTGGGCAGGAGACGGAGGGACAAACCCCAAGTGTGAGTTTTTCCTCCAAGTAAAGCTAAGCCGCCCATTTTCTCCCAGGAGCATCGAGTCCCCCAGCCTGGGGTTCTGCGCAGATGTCCTCCTGCCCCACCTCCTAGAGGACGACCTGGGCCAGCTGTCCGACCTGGAGCTGGAGCCGGACACGCAAAACTGGCAGCACACGGTGGGCAAGGAAGTGGTGGCGGGCCTCACCCAGAGGGAGATTGACCGGCAGGAGGTCATCAACGGTGAGACCGTGCTCCCCTTCCCCGCCCCTGCTCACCCCATTTCCACTCTAACCCGTGTGAGGAGTAAAGAGGGAGGGCCCTGGGACAGGCCCAGGTCCTTGTTGATCCTAAGGAACAACTCGGTGCTGGCCCTTGGGTGAGAGAAAGTCCAGTCCATGCATGATTTGAAAACAGTACTCGGTTCCCCCAAAATAAAGTGGCTTGGGCGTCACGGTAGTGACTCTAGATACTTGCTCATGTTTTCTCCCGTCTTTCTATCCTCCTGTCACAACCGCTGCTCAGAGTTGTTTGTGACCGAGGCTTCCCATCTGCGCACGCTCCGGGTCCTGGACCTGATCTTCTACCAGCGAATGAAGAAGGAGAACCTGATGCCCCGCGAGGAGCTGGCCCGGCTCTTCCCCAACCTGCCTGAACTCATCGAGATCCACAGTGAGGAGCTGTCCTCCCGCCCTCCCTCCACCCCTCTGGCCAGCCTCAGGCTTCGGTTCCACTTCACCCGCATGCTGGGACCCCCCGTGCGGAAAGCCCTGGCGATCCGCCGTGCAACCTGAAGCCAGCATTCCAGTTACCCCAGAGCATCCTGGTTCCCAGACCCTTCCCCACAGCACTGCTGTCGGACCCTCTGCCCTCCACCCAGCCTTGCTGCTTCTCCCCTTGCCCAGATTCCTGGTGCGAAGCCATGAAGAAGCTCCGGGAGGAGGGCCCCATCATCGAGGAAATCAGTGACCTCATGCTGGCCCGGGTATAGCTGACGCTTCTGCTTGGAGGAGAGGGGGGTCCTGGCCAAGGCTGGAGGAGACGGGGAGGGGCCGGTCCCAGGTCGGATGGATGATGCCCGCCCGTGTCCACTCTGCCTCAGTTTGATGGTCCTGCCCGAGAGGAACTCCAGCAGGTGGCCGCCCAGTTCTGCTCGTACCAGTCCATAGCCCTGGAGCTGATCAAGACCAAGCAGCGGAAGGAGAGCCGATTCCAGCTCTTCATGCAGGTGCGTCCTTTGCCGTCCTGCCGCCTCCTCTCATTCCACTACACGTTAGCCAAGTCAGGCACATCTCCTGACCCCAGCTCCAAGCACCCCTGCCCCTTCTCTCTCTGGGGAGGACAATGCAAACTCCCTGCAGCACCTGCACCCTCCCTCACGCCACCTCTCCCGAAACACTGACCTGTATCTACGCTCAAGACAGAGACTGCTGTTTGCTGGGAAGAACCCTGGATAAGCAGTCAGTAGGTCCAGCTCACTCGTTTACTGTCTGTAAAGGGGAGGAACACCTGCTCTGCGTGGCTCCTCTGACCATATCCCTTCCACAGGCATCTGTCTCCTGGCCCCCACATGCTTTGCCTTAAATATTCAAGAAAGAAGCTGCCATCGTTCTGAGTTTCCCTCTGGAATTAGGACCTATTGGCATTTTCACACCCACCCAGGTCCTGAGGCCATAAGCCAGCGCCTCACCCTGTCTGTGCCTCCCTTCGTCTAGGAGGCTGAGAGCCACCCTCAGTGCCGGCGGCTGCAGCTGCGGGACCTCATCATCTCGGAGATGCAGCGGCTGACCAAGTACCCGCTGCTGCTGGAGAGCATCATTAAGCACACGGAGGGTAGGGCTGGGCGCGGGGCTGGCGGAGGAGGCACAGCCTCATTTCAGACCCTCGTCTTACCATGATGTACTTGGTGACCTTAGAGAGTCACTTGACCTCTCTGGTCTTCAGGGTCTTCATCCTTGTCTTGTATGAGCAGTCTCACAGGAGGTAGTGATGGTCAGTGCACCCTGGGGAAGTGAGGTGCTCAGCAGTGGCAGGGTGAGGGCTACCTCTAGCCCAGGTGGGGCCTTTGTACAGCTAAGAGGACAGCATCTGAGTGGACACAGGTTGGTCCATGGAGGGCACCTTGGCTCCACTGAGGGCCATGGCTGGATCGTAGTCCCCATTCTCTCTCACGCACATGCACACACACGCACACTGGATGCCTCTGTAAGGCACAAAAGACACACCGTGTGTGGTAACAGCCGAGCAGGGGCCATGCTGAATAAGGGGGCCTGGGATCCTGAGCGCCCTTCACCCTCTCACATTTGGGTATTGGAGTCAGGGTATGCAGGTGAGGAACCTCCATGTAATTCAGCAGGTTCCTAGAGGCACCGCCACCGCACTTGCCAGTCTCTGTTCCTGCCCCACGTCTGCACAGCTGCTTGTGGGCCAGGCAGAACCCCAAGAGCTGTCCGTGTCTTCAGAGCAATGATCTGAAATCCGGTGACCCCCAGTGAAGATAACGTTACCCTGAGGTCCTCAGTCAGGCTCGGGGGCGAATCTACCGTCCCTGCTGGTCGGTGGTGGGTGTGAGTCACCGATGATGTCGGACTCCAGGCTTCTCTCCTAACTGCCTCCTCTGCTGACTGGTAGGTGGCACCTCTGAGCATGAGAAGCTTTGCCGGGCCCGGGACCAATGCCGGGAAATTCTTAAGTATGTGAATGAAGCGGTGAAGCAGACAGAGAACCGGCACCGGCTAGAGGGCTACCAGAAACGCCTGGACACCACCTCCCTGGAGAGGGCCAGCAACCCCCTGGCAGCGGAATTCAAGGTAGGAGGCAGAGGGGCACATGGTCACACCCCCACACACGCACACGCACACGCCTGCGCACGATTCTGGCGCACCCTGGAGAGCAGAGCTCCGGTCAGTGCCTGGAGAGTGGGAGGCAGGAACCTGGCTGTCTGGTAGGATGGCATGGTGGGGCCTGGAACACACATGCCTCCTGTTACCTTTGTCAGCCCATCCAGACAGACACGGGCAGACAGCTCCACCAATAGACTAGAACGTTAGACTCAGCCGGAAGAGCTGGGGCTGGGCGCTCCAGCTTGAGGTCGGTAGAGATCCTTTGGGAGGGAATAAGTTGAAGGGACGGGCAAGTAAGCAGAGCTCTTCTTAGGAAGGTGGATGGCACGTGGTGTGGGGTGGACGAGAGACCTAAGCAGAGCTGTCGGCACATCCCCCAACCCAGCACAAGGCCCGTGGCTTCGTAGTGGCCTGTTCACTGACTGTGTCCCTCTCAAGAGGGTAAGGGCAGAGACTACTACTTGTCACCACTGATCCCGAGCCCCTCAGCATGGTGTCTGGCACATAATAGGCTCTCAGATACTTGTCGAATGGATGAATGAATGAACAAACGGTTTCTCCTTAACAGAGCCTGGATCTCACCACCAGAAAGATGATCCATGAGGGGCCCCTGACGTGGAGGATCAGCAAGGATAAGACCCTGGGTACGGGGGTGTGTGCTGGGGCCACGGGATGTCTGGGGGGGGCTAGGCTGGAGCATGACTCCTGGAGCCTGGTGCTCTCTGAAGAGGCAGTAAGGGAGCCGGGAAGCAGCTTAAACATAACTGGGAGAGTTCAGACTCCTTATGCACAGCATGGGGGATACCAACAAGAAAGGGGCCGGGCATCCCAGAGCCCCTGGGCCCCGGGTGTGGATGGTGGCGCGGGAGCTGGGAATGTCTCACGAGCACCGCCCCCTCCAGACCTCCACGTGCTGCTGCTGGAGGACCTCCTCGTGCTGCTGCAGAAACAGGACGAGAAGCTGCTGCTCAAGTGCCACAGCAAGACCGCGGTGGGCTCCTCAGACAGCAAGCAGACCTTCAGCCCCGCGCTCAAGCTCAACGCCGTTCTCGTCCGCTCCGTGGCCACAGGTGCTGCGCGGGGACCGTCCCCGCGGCCTGGGCCCCGGGCACGGCCACGGTCACTGATGTGCAGTGAGGCTGGGTGATGAGGGCCAGTCTGGGGCCTACGGGAGTTACAGTCCACCTTTCCTCCTGCCTGAGCCTTCTAAGGGGGTGGGATAGGATGCTGGGGGTGGGGGACAAGGTGAAAAAAAGCAGCCAGGAGGGCTGTGAGCTCCGGGGCGGGCTGAGGAGGTGTACGCAGGGTTGGGAAGAATAGGATTGGGCCGAGAGGAGTAGGACCAGCCTTCCTGCTTCAGAGTGGCGGGAAGAGCCGGGGCCCCACAGCGGAGTTGAGTCCAGCGGACAGACGTTTCCGTGAGAAGGGGCGTGTGCACAGGGGAGGGCTCTGGCAGCCGCACGCTCCGGCTTGCTTTTCTCATCCCGAACGTGGGGGATCAGAGGCCTGGTGGCATGAGAAGGTTTATAAACCCAGGCACCACACATGTCAGCCTGCGTTGTTAGTGTAATGGGGGCCATGAAAGGTGCCATTAGGGGTTCCAGAATCGCCTTTGTCCCTAGTAAGTAGGTCCCAAGTGGTTCTGAGGACCCAGGTCTGTCTCGCTGCATCCTTCGTCCGCGGTGAGGGTCAGGGCTTTGAGTCCGCACTCCGGCTCCCGGCCCAGGCTGCAGTCGGGCCTCTGCTGCCCCCCATGCAGTGCCTCTCCCTTCGCTTTCTCACAGACAAGCGTGCCTTCTTCATCATCTGCACCTCCGAGCTCGGCCCACCCCAGATCTACGAGCTGGTGGCACTGACTTCCTCAGACAAGAACACGTGAGAATGGATTCCAGGGTCCCTTATGACTGCTGTCCCTTAGGGACCAGGACGGTGTGTGTGAGGATAGTGAGGCGAGAGGCAGGCCCCAGAGCAGTCGGGCAGGCAGTGGGCAGGGAAGATGGAGACAGACGGACTTGGAGGAGCTTGTAGGACCCTCCCTGCCTGAGCCATGGGAGGGCGAGGGAGTCCCACAGCCTCCCCGCCACTTTGCTCTTCCCTGTCTCCGGCTCCAGCCCCTTCCCGCTGGGGTTTGCTCCCTTCCCAGTCGGGTGTTCTAAAGTCACATCTTCCATGTTTGCTCCCCATCCCACCCCCTGCGGCAGTTGGAGGTGGCGCACAGGAGAGACAGGTTGAGTCAGGCAGTTTCTCAGCTCCAGGTTTTCATGTGTAAACGTGGGTATTGGGTTTTCTTGAGAGAGAGCAGATATAGGATACGCGGCACGGAGTATACCAGCGGCTGGTGTTCAGTCATTGGAGCTGAAGTAATAGAGCTGCACAGCGGCAGCCAGAGGCCTGTGTGGGTCCCTGGGGAGGGTGTGGAAGAGGCCTCCAGGCTCTGGGCAGGGTTTCGGGTGAGACAGTGTGTGCCTGGATCTTGAGCCCTCACCGTCCTCTCTGCTCCTGTGGAGCTGCAGGTGGATGGAACTCCTAGAAGAGGCCGTGCGGAAGGCCACCCGGCACCCAGGAGCCGCCCCGGCTCCCGTCCTTCCTCCGCCGCCCGGCCCTCCGGACTCCGCCCACCAGAGCCCCCGGTCCAGCGGGTACTTAGCCCCAGGCCCCCTGCTCACCCGCTCCACAGCCCTTGTTTTCGGCTGATCTTCAGCCTTCGCCTGGGGATGGGCAGCCTCACAGACAGGGACGTCCCCACACCCGGCCTTCCCTCCCCGTCTGCTCCCCGCAGCCCCCATGGCGGTATGGAGGCTGCGCCTAACGCGGGGCGGGAGGTAGAATGGGGACCAGGAGAGGCTTGGCCGGCACCCACCCTCCTCTCCGGGCTGCCAGTCAGACAGCAGGTGCTGAAACGGAGCACCTTCCTTCCTGATCCTGTGCCCTCATTGCCCGTTCTCGCTCTGGAGGCCAGGCTGGAATTTCATGACCTCAGGCTCCTGGGGGGCGGCGGGGAGCCAGCATTCCGCAGGTGACCTGCCCGTTTCCTCCCTCAGAGAACTGGACGACTCGGAAGTGTTTCAGAGGGAGCCAGAACCAGAGGCGCTCCCTGGAGGTTGGTGCCCTGGGTGGTCTTTGTGGAGACAGCCTCATCCATTTTTCATAGGCACGGGCAGGAAGGTGGGCAGGGGTGGGGCGGGGGGGTGGGAGGGATCCATCACGCCACCGGTGTGAGGTTTGGATAAGAATAGTGGGAGGAAGAAAGAGCCGGACGAGGAAGGGAAACAGACTTAAGGGAGTGCTCTCCTGAACAGAATGTGACCCTGGCTCACGGTGCTAGGTACTTAGCAGTGGGGGAAGAGAGGGATAGTTGGGGGTCCAGGACCCCCTGCTTCCCCCACCAGGGTTACTAGTGGAGAACGAGATGCAGGCAGAAGCTGTGTATCAGGGAGTGCATTGTGCAGGGGTCATCAGGGGGAGTTGAGCTCAAAAGACAATTACTGGAATGAAATTGCAGAGGCAGGAGGGCCCAAGCAATTCTCATTGCTAGTCTGTATGTGAATTAGTTTAGGGTCTTGAGTTTAGAGAGGAATCTCCCTGGGTAGGCAACCTGGCTGTGACCCTCTTCTGATCTTTCTGCTTAAAATGCTTTTCCTCCTAACTTCCACACCTCCTTCAAGTCTTACCTTTGCAACAGTACGCCTCTTTGACCCTCTGTTTAGTACTGTAGCCAGCACTCCTGATCCTCCATACCCGGCTCTTGTTTTTGTTCTTTCCTATAGCACCTCTCACCTTCTGATTTATTTCGGTGATTTGCTTATTTTATTATTCCTCTGTGTCCCTGCACTTGAATTTAAGCTCCACGGGCAGCGATCTTTATTTACTGATGTATGCCAGGAGCCGGGCCAGTGCAGCCAGAGTAGGTGCTCAGGACACACTGTAAAATGAATCACCCAGTGCTCCCAGCCCCTTAAATCCAAAGCTGGGCCTGGCATCAACCCCCAGTGCCTCCCTTTCCCTGCCTCACTCTGACCTTCCGCCACCACAGGTACGGGGCCCCCTCAGAGGGCCAAAGGGAAGCACTCGGTCCTGCTGGAGGACCTCACGCATGAGGGCAGCAGAGAGGACAAGGAGCTGGGAGCCCTGCCCCACCCTCCCGCATCCCTGGATGGAGAGAACAGAGGCGGCAGGACCAGAGACCCCATCGTCCTGCCCCTCCCAGGCCCCATGTTCATGGAAGGCCTTGCCGATGCCGCCCTAGAAGATGGTGAGTGCCTCATGGACCCTGCCATCGGCCCCCAGTCCCCAGCAGCTCGGCCAGAGTGAACTGGCAGCTGTCTGCACCCTCCCCCTGCCTGGAGATGCTCCCTGGTTGTGCTGAGGCGAGGTGATGCCGAGACACAGTTGGCATCCCCGTTCCCCAGCCCCGCTAGCTGGCCAGAGCCCTCCATCCGCACCGGTGCCTGGGGGGGCAGGTTCGCCAGGTTGTGGGAGGGAGTCAGCCACCTGCACCTCCGCACGCTCCCCCTGCTGGCTGGTCCCGTGCAGGGAAGCCACGGCCCTGTTTCCCTCCAGTGGAGATCCTGCGACACCTGATCCTGCGGGGCCGGCTGCCGAGTCACCCCCGGGAACCGCAGGCCGCCGGGGAGCCCGAGGACGACCTGACGCCCACACCTTCCGTCGTCAGCATCACCTCTCACCCCTGGGACCCAGGCTCCCCCGGGCGCGCCGCCCCGGGGGGTGAGGGGGAGAGCGCCCCGCTCCCGGGGCCGGAGGGCGGCCAGCCCGAGCAGGCGGGGGCGCTCTGCTCTCTGGAACACCTGCCTCCGCGGACACGGGGTTCTGGGATCTGGGAGCCTCCTGAGCGAGGCAGGAGCCCCGAGGAAGAGGCTTCGGGCACAGAGGCAGCAGGAAGTTACAAAGTTGTGCGGAAAGGTAACAGAAATGAGGGCCCACGGGGGAGACAGACGCCCGCTTTTGCTAGGGTAGAGGCGAGTCTTCGAAGGCTGCTCCCTTCCCCACCTCATTCCGGAGCCACGTGTGCAGGGGCTCACCCGGGCCCTAGGGGACCGGGACGTGTTGGCAACGCGCAGGGGGCAAAGGCTTAGGGGTCGGACAGCCAAGGGCCAAGCCCAGCTCCATCACTTCATGCCTGTGTGATATCAGAGCAACTCTGAACTCCTTCTGTAGTGGGAGGATATTGCCTAGTTCCTGGCATTGAGCAGCCATCAGTAAAGGTCTCTGCCATGTCCCTCACTCGTCTGCCAGTCCTGAGGGAAGGAGTGGCTCTTTCGGAGCCTCAGGCCTGCGGAGACAAGGACTCCTGCTTGTGGCCAGTCCCTCAGATGGCAGAGATGACGGACTGGCAGCGTGGGATAGAGCTGCAGCTGGACTAGAGGCTGAGCTGAGAGAGGGGCCGGAGGACAAGCCTGGGAAGATGCTCAGAGAGTAAGGGGTGAGGGGAGTGAAGGCGGTGGCAGGAGGGCACCCAGCTGTGATGATATGGGGGACGGCTTTAAGACAAGCACAGCTGAGCCTGGCCAGGATGGTGCTCAGGACGGGTTGGGCCAGAGCAGTGAGCCCAGGCGGGAGTCAGGCGGGGGAGGGGTCCGCTGGAGAGGGGAGCCGCAGGGCAGGGTGCTCCTGAGGAGTGGGAGGGGATTCCCCTGGTGCTCTGCCTCCCTCTCCAGGGGCATTTATCACTCATCTGCTTCAGGCGCCCTCTCTGCTGGGTTTCTGGGAACTGACCTTCCTTCTCTCTCCTCCGGTGAATTGGTGGGAAAGTTCTCCGCAGCTCCCTGGGGTAGAGTCACGTGTGAGCTTGTGTTCACTGTGATCTTCCCTTTTTCTTTCTCTCCACCCCCTCCTTCCTCCTCTCCTTCCCTTCCCTTCCCTCTCGGTTTCTGCTCTCGCTGTGGTGGCGGTGGCGGTGGCGGTGGCGGTGCAGCTGAGGTGGCAGGCAGTAAGGCTGTCCCTGCACTACCAGCGGGCGGCCAGGCAGAGGCTGAGCCACCTGAAGTGGAAGGCGGAGCAAAGGCTACGGGTAACGAACCCCTCCTGGGAGCCAGACAGGCCAGCGCCGGGTGTGGGGCCCAGAGGGCGAGCTGGGCCCGGGCATTAGAGCCCTGCCCCTGGCCAGACAGGGCAGGCCTGTGCCACCCCCTTTCAGAACGGAGGGCAAGCAGCTGGTGCTGTCACGAGTGGGCGGGAAGCCTGGCCTGATGCCCCGTGTCCTTAGCCTGAGAGCTGGCAGTGAGCCACTTGCCCACACCAGCCACCACTCTGTCATGGTGGAAGCAGGCTTCCATGCCACCACAGTTCCTTGGCGTTCACCTACGCCTGCCGCCTGGTCAGGGACCCTCTGCGTCCTTCTCCAGCTGTCAGACCCCCTAGGATGCACGGAGGTGTCTCCAGGACTGTGAAGCAGGTGGCCGAGGGGCTACTGCCCGTGGCTTTTCACAAGTTTCTAAAACCAGCCGCCACCACCTACCCTTCCTCCTAGGAATGGGAGCCCTTCCCCATTTCCCCAGTGAAACACACAACCCTGCCACCTCCGCCTTAGCTGTCAGCACTGAGTGTCTTCCCTGGCGTGGGACACGCTAAGCAAACGGCCATCTAGAAGCCCCGAGGGTGGGGGTGGGGCGCTCGGGGCGTGCAGTGGGCAGCAGGAGGCGGGGTGCGCTGAGCTCGCCCTGGCACGGGTTCCCTGGCCCAGCAGGCAGCCGGGGAGCCGAGGGAGAGGAGGGGCTTCCACTGGCTCTGCACTTGCCTAATATCTCTCTCTCTCTCTCTCTCTCTCTCTCTCTCTCTCTCTCCATGGGCACAGGGAACTGTTTTTATGTCAGCATGCCAGCAGGGCCCCTGGACTCCAGCACCGACCCCTCGGGGGCACGCACAGACCTCGCTCAACCCGACGGCCTCCCTGCCTGGCGGACAGAGCCACAGCCGCGGGGGGGCAGCGGAGAGCCGAGGCGCCCCAGCTGCTCGCCCCCCAGCCTGGCCCTCAGGGACATGGGCATCATCTTCCAGACCATTGAGCAGCTCACCCTCAAGCTCCACAGGCTCAAGGTGAGGGACGGGGGCTCAGGCCCCGGGCGGGAGGCGGCAGCCTGTGCTCAGTGGCGTGGGCGGGAGCTTGGGCTAGAGGTCAGGTTCCCGAGGGGACGCGGGCGCCCTCGCTCTCCGCCCGCCCAGGCCCCTCAGCACCGGGGCCTCAGCGCGCCTCCCGCCCCCCAGGACATGGAGCTGGCCTACAGGGAGCTGCTCCGCTCCCTCGGCGGGTCCTCCGGCGGCACCACGCCCGTGGGCAGTTTCCACGCAGAAGCCGCTCGCTGGGCAGACTGCTCCCTGTCGCCTCCCGGGAAGGACCCCCCGGCCTCCGACTCCTGGGACCGCCACGAGCCGGGGCCCTGCCCAGAGGACAGTGAGTGAAGCGGTTCCTCCGTGCCAGCCCCGGGGAGGAGCGCCCGCTGGTGAGGAGGGGGGTGCTGGGGGTCTCCTTGCCCCCCTCCCCACTCTTAGGAGCTTGAGGACTTTCCGGGCAAAACCTGAGGGGGGCTCATCTCAGGCCAGTTCTGTCACCCCTGCACCCCCACAGGCACCAGCAGCCCCCGGGAGGAGAGCACGGCAGACGCGGCCTCACGCCCAGGACTGTGACGGCACCGTCCTCGCACCCACTCCCCGCGGGGCTGGCCCGGGCGGGCACGGCGGGACCCCCAGGCCTCCTGCGCGGCGGGCAGAGGCAGCTCAGGAGCCACACCGAGGGAGACCGCGTGTTGCTTGGGAGTCCATTTTCAGTGTCTTGCTCATCCTCACCCGAGGATATTTTCCATTGATTTTTTTTTTTTTAAGAGGGAGGGGGAGAGAGGCATCAAGTGGTTGCCTCTCGCAGGCACCCTGACCAGAGGCTGGGGATCAAACCTGCAACCCGGTGACCGGGAATCGAACACTAACCACTGAGCATACTGGCCAGGACCGGTTTCAGGGTCTTTCCCCTCCCTCAGGCCACCGGTGCCGGGTCTCCTGTGCATGCTGACTGCGTCTTTAAGGCCCCCTTGTCCCACATACGCGGGCCCGCTGGTACGCGTGGGTCCCTCGGGCTCGCGCGTGAACGGGAAGGCTTCTGTGTAAATGCACTTTCTTCTCCCCTTCCCCCAGGGCCCAAGGCTAGGGGGTGCCTCCGCCTCTCCTGGTTCCCTATAAATATGTATGTATTGTATGTGCATCTTGGCTGTTGTAAATAACTTGGACCTTCCTGTTCCTGGAGTGCTGGAGGCCGCCCCGCTGAGGGAAGAGGCTCCATCGTCTCCCAGGTCTCGCCCAGCGCCAGGATCGGGGCCTGAAGGTTGAGCCAGTCCCCTGTGGGCCCACCTAGCGCGGGAGCCCGGCCTCTGCGGCTCAGGGCCAAGCTACACCCTCCCCACTGGACTTCCCACCCTTCCCCACAGAAAACCAGTGTGTCAGGTACGGAGCTGAGCGCTGGGTGGGCCCCAGAGGAGGGGGTTCAAATGCTGGAGTCCCTCCATTCACCAGGACCATCCCAGGAGCCACTGCAATGCTGGCCCCGCCACCACGTCCACGGCACTCCCCCACTGACTCGCAGAATATACACACTGTGCTAGGTGTATATATACATATATAAATATATATATAATATATAAAATGCAGATATGGAAATGACTGTTCTGTTGTTAAAATAATGTATACTCTTATTTTCTTCCTTTCATGATTAAGATTTTTTTTTTTTTTTAAGAAAAGTTAAATATTCTTAAACTGTAGTGGTGTGTGTGTGATTCCTGTTAAACTGCTGTGAGAAAAGTTCCTCCTGCGACTGGATAGAGGGACAGAAGAAGGAAGTCCCCCCGTCCGACATCCAGACCCAGCTCCTGCCATGTTCTCCCCCAAGCTCCAATGCGTGCTCACTGCAGTGCAGCTGGGCAAGCTCAGCAACACAGCCCCATGGCCAAGACACAGACACACTCCACCCTCTTAATTTAAACACACACACGTCCATACAGGAGCAGTGGGTCCCACGTCACGAGACCTGAGCTGCCCTCAGGGAGTGGCGGGGCGTCTCAGCCTGCACCCCCTGCAGGCTCCGCACCCCCAGGCCAGCGACGGCCACATCCTCACTGTCTGCCTTCACTGCTGGACTTGGAGACAAATTCTCTCTCAGCCCTCACCCTCCCCTCCCAAACCTGTCGTGATTCCAGGTGCTGCCCTCCGGTCGGGAGCTTATGGTCTGGTTGGGCGTAGACTTGGTGCACAGGTCATTGGTGATGAAGTGCGGGGCCGAGCATGGCGGCTGTAGATGCTTCACAGAAGCTTTACTTCAGGGCAGCGGTTCTCAACCTGTGAGTCGCAGCCCCTTTGGGGGCCGAACGACCCTTTCACAGGGGTCGCCTAAGACATCCTGCGTATCTGATATTTACATTGCGGTTCATAACAGCAGCAAAATTGCAGTTCTAAAGGAGCAGCGGAAACAATTTTATGGTTGGGGGTCACCATGAGGAACTGTATTAAAGGGTCACGGCATTAGAAAGGTTGAGAACCACTGCTTCAGAGGGATTCAGGCAGGACTAGCTGGCGCGGCCGAGGTGGCATCCTCGCCACGCACCTGTGATTGCTCGTGTTGGGAATCGAGCACGGCCGGGTTCCCTGCAGCTCAGCCAGCGGCCAGAGGCCGAGCAGGTGGCCAGAGGCCAGAGGCCTGGAGAGCCCCTGAGCCTCACCAGAGAGTTCTCGGCACGGAGAGCACATCTCTGTCGAGGCAACAGCGTGCAGGGACGGGGCCAGGTTAACTGCCCAGGGGGGAAGGAGGGACACTCTCCTGGAAGCTCCCGTGACGCGGCCGTCGGCTCCCGGGAGCCAGCCCTGTGCGCGCTCCGCCTGGTCAGTGGGCCGCTCAGGGAGGCACACCGATGGGCCCCAGCTCTCCCGGCGCCGCCGGCCCCTCACCATTCGGGTTTAGGATTTCAGACATCGAGGCGCATGTGCTCTAGGAAACGGGAGAGCAAGGCCCGGCAAACGGCAGCGATCCCGCCAGTTCTGGCCGTTACACGAACAGAGTCCATGTGTCCCAAGTAGTTCCAGAATAAAGCTTTAAACAACTTCAAGCGGGGGAAGTACAGCAGCGGCCTTCGTACCTGATCTGAGGTCTCAGGGGGCCCAGCCCACCCCGGACAGGAGACGCTCCTGCGGCAGAGTCGGGCCGGAGGCACGAGGGGGCGGCTAGGTGGCCGACGCCATGGACTCCTCCTCCCTGTGCTTGGCCTTGCTGATGGGGTCCCTCGGCAGCATCAGGTCCTGAATCATCATGTACACGGGGCTTTGCGGGGAGAAGTTGTTTTTCTGGAGGAGGCAAAGGGGATGGAGACGGGTTTTCTGGAGGAAAACCTTCCTGGGACAGGACGGGCGAGGGGCGCGGGACTGCTAACGTTGCAGCGAGTCTGACGGAGGGCGTGCGTGGTGAAAAGACCCCGAAACCACAGGCCGGCGCAGGGGACTCACCGCCAGGTTCAGCCGGAGCAGCCCCGTGGGGCCCTTGGGGGCGCTCTTGGAGGCCTTGGAGGACTGCACCTGGGCCTGGTACCGCACCACGCTGAGGAAGCCCTCCAGCCCCACCTCCGTGATGCGGTTTCCTGGCGGGAGGAGCGACAAGGTGCCTCTTACGCCTCCACCCCCCTCAGGGGCAGCCCCCCTCCACGCCAGCTCCCAGCTCACCCGCGAGGCAGCTCCTCACTCCAACCGCCTTCACTGCTCCCTCTGCCTCCCTCCGCCCCCACCCCACCTCTCCCTCCTTCCCTTCAAACTGCGCCCGGGACCTGACTTCCTCTCACTCAAATGTCCCTCCAGCCGGGGGAGAACTAGGCTCTGCTCTGTGGGGTCAGGGTGGGGCACCCGTAGGGCAGCGTGGGCCCAGCAGCCCTGAGACAGGAGGGCAGGGCGGGCGGGCTCACGCACGGATGAGGTTGAGGTGCAGGAGGACCTTGTTCCCAGGCATGAACACCTTCCCGTCTCGGTGTTCCACGGGCTCCAGCAGAGGGTTCACCATCTCTGTAGCCTCAATGATCAGCTGCTGGGGTAATTGGAGAGGTTAGTCAACAGGCCACTCACTCATTCATTCATTCATTCATCCATCCATCCGACATGCATGTTCTGAGGGCTGGCTATGGTCCAGGCAGCGTTAGGTGCCGGGGACACAAAAGTAAAGATGCCCATATCCTCAAGAGGCACCTGGGCGTGGGGGCAGAAGGGGGGACGGCGATGTGTGTGTGGCCAGGGGCAGAGGCCAGCTCGGGGTCCTGCCGGAGCACCAGCCCCGGCTCCCAGGGAGGCGGCCTGGGAGCTGAAGTCTGAACGGTGCCCAGTAGGTACCAGATAAAGGTGAGAGGCAGAGAGAGCAGGACAGGGCACACGGGTTTTCCCCGTCTCCTGAGGGCTAGCGCTCGGAGGGCAATGATGGAGGGCCGGGTGGAGAGGGGATCAGGAGAAATCGCCTCATTCCCTGTGAGAGACAGCAGCCTGGACAAGACGGACAGCGGAGTGCGAGGCAGCCTCACCCCCTTCTACCTGACCGTCCCCTTTGGTGAGGTCTTGTCTCGGATGCCAGAGAGGACCCCTAAAGGGCAGGCCTCCTGGTGGACAGAGCCTCTCGGAGAGGAGGGCTGGAGGGCTGGCAGGTGGGAGCTCATCAGCGACAGTCCAGGAAGCAAGGAGCAGACGGGTCCCAGTGAGGAGGGGAAGGGAGGCCCCAGGGCAAAGGAGAGGGTCTGGAGGAGCCTCACACACCGTGAGGGGGGCGGGGGAGGGAGAGGGGAGGCAATGACTATGAGATGCTCTGTACCGAGGGCAGCTGTGCCAGCCAACGGTGGAGGTGGTGATGGTTACATCAGTGGCCTTTTGGGGAGCAAACTGACTGGGGGAGGGGAGCAAATGTGTGAGCTCCTAATAAGCAAGGAGAAAGAAGGGGAGGGAGTCCGAAACCCGTTTGGCTCAGTGGACAGAGCGTCGGCCTGCGGACTGAGGGGTCCCGGGTTTGATTCCGGTCGGGGGCATGTATCTTGGTTGCGGGCACATACCCTGGTGGGGGGTGTGCAGGAGGCAGCTGATTGATGTTTCTGACTCTATAACTCTCTCCCTCTCTGTAAAAATCAATAAAATATATATTTAAAAAGGGGGGGGGCTCCTCAAGCCTAAAGGGAGGGGCATCCTGCTCTCCCCCAGCAAGCCCAGGCTGGGGTGGGGTGTCCCGTGGAAGCGGCATTCCAGGGGGTCTCCTGGGACGTGTCCTGTCCACACACGCGCGCACACACACACCCCCCGCCTCCCCAGAGCCCACCTCGGACTCCAGGAGGATGCTGCGCTTCTCTTTGCTCCCCGTCTTGATGCCTTTCCCCTTGGACGGCTTCTGCTGCTCGGGGATGGTCACCTCTGGGGCGGGAAGAGGGTCAGAGTGCGCCGTGCAGCCCTCCGATACCACCCGGATCCCCCCCCAGAGAGGGGCTGGGCCAGGAAGGCCACCCCTCCAACCGGGTTTGGGTGCCACAGAAACAGAGCTCGAGGGGCCTCTTCTCAGGGCAAGGCCACGGGGTCTGCCCAGGGAACCAGGGCGCAGGGGTCAGGATGTGGGGCTTCCCACGCCATCTCCCGAGGGGCAGCGGACTGGACAGGAGGGCGCCCCGAAGGCCAGCCCATCCCTCCCGCGTCCCGCCCGCTGCAGGGGACGGCCCAGCACTTACTCCCCTTGCTTGTCTTGGGGGCGTCTTCCTTCTTGAGGTTTCCTAGGATGGGTGACTGCCCGGACCCCGACTTCTCCTCCTTCTTCACCACTTCCTGTGAAGGACGTAAGACAAGACCACAGATTGAAGTCCTCCCTCCCTCGGGGGCGGGGAGCGGCTGGGAGGAGGCCTGTGCGAGGTACGCCGGGCCTGAGAAGGCTCTTGAAGGCCCCCTTCCCTCCCGCTCCACCTGCCCCCACCACGAAGCGTCCCTTCCTCGCGGCTCCCCTCCAGACGACCCAAGGCCCACCTACCACTGCCTTCTCCTTTTTCTTGAACAGGCCCTTCGGGGTCTTCACTGCCATCATCTTGTCCGCCTTGTCCATCAGCGCCACGCTGCTGACTCCCATCAGCTGGACCTTCTCGCGCTCTGTTTTGGAGTCCCCATGCCGAGAAGAGGAAGGCTGTGCTCACAAAGGGGAGGGGATGGAGGCAGACACCGGGGGCCTTCCCCAGCGGGGAGAGGGGGGAGCCTGTGCCCGGGGTGTGGTCCCATAGGCAGCACCCAACCCCCACTGCCTGCCTCCACGCTAACACAGCGCCTCTGGGACTCCTGGGGACGGCGGTGCCGCAGGGAGAAATGGCCGAGGGCCCCCCGAGGGGGGGGAGGGGCTCAGACTCTCATTGCTCCTGTGTTTCACATGCATTTAATCCTCTCAGCAACCCTGTGAGTGACCTGCCAAGATCACAAGGGATTTTGGGTGTTAGCAGTCTAAATCTACTCCTTTCTCCAACATCCTCACCCGAGGATGTGTTTTTATTGATTTTTAGAGAGAGGAAGGGAGCAAGAGAAACATCCATCAGTTCCCTACTGCACCCACCATGACCGGGAATTGAACCCATGACCTTTGGGTGTGCGGGAAGATGCTCCAACACCCAAGGGAACCACCCTGTCTAGGGCTACTCCTTTCTCTTAACCAATACGTCCTGCCCACGGAGGGATTCCGCAGGGACAGCCCACGTGTGTGCTGGGCCGGCGCAGAAGCTGGGCAGGGGACAGTCAGGACGGAAGACGAACAGGGCCAGGGCCGGCGAGCTGGGAGACAGCTGGGCTGGGGTGCAGCTCACCGACCGCAGGCGCTCCTGGGTGCCCTTCTCCAGCAGGAGGCGCCGGCGCTCCACCACCTCGGTGTGTGTCAGCTCGAAGGGCTGCAGGACCTGGGCCCAGGCTCAGCTGTCAGACCCGGGGGAGGCCACCCACTCACCCATCCCGCAGCCTCCCGGCTCGCCCACCTCCGCCAGCTTCAGGGCGCCTTTGTCCTGGATGCGGTTGTGGGCCAGGGACAGCCACAGCAGGGAGCGGTTCAGCCGCAGGCCCTGGGGGCGGGGAGGGGTGTGGCCATCAGGCCGGAGGGCGCCGGCTCAGCGGGTCCCCACCCCCCACCCCGCCCCTGTCTCCCTCCCGGGCACGCACGTCGGCGATGTAGCCGGCGCCCTCGTCCCCGATGTGGTTGAAGCCCAGGTTGAGGGAGACCAGGGTGCGGTTGCAGGTGTGCAGCGTGGACAGCGCCTGGCCCAGCAGCCGCGCGCCCTCGTCGTCGATGTTGTTGTTCCGCAGGGACAGGTGCGTGATCCTGGGCGGAGGAGCCGGGCTGGGCGCGCACCGGCTCTCAGGGAACGCGGGGGCACGGGGAGGGGCACCGGGTCTGAAGTCGGGGGGGGGGGGGGGGGGCAGGCATGGAGGGTGCCTGGGGGGGCGCAGGGGGCAGGGAAGGGCGGGGACCAGGAGGGCTTGGCGCGGGGGCCGGCGGGCGGGAAGGGGACTCACGTGCTGTCCAGCCCCATGAGCTTGTGGTAGGACTGCTCCGGCAGCGGGTTGGCCTCCAGGGACACCTTCCTGAGGGCGGAGTCGGTCTGAGCACCAGGGGGCGTCCCTGAGGCCCGGGGGAGGAAGGGATGAAGAGGAAGTGGGGGGCTCTGAGGAGCAGCTTGGAAACAGAGTTAAAGGACGGATCCCAATTTCAGAAACTACAGGAGAACTAAATTCTATTTAATCCTCCAGACTGAAAACCCAGACGTGTGGCCACGGGGAGGGGTAGCTCCCCAGAATTATTTTTAAAAATATATATTTTATTGATTTTTTTACAGAGAGGAAGAGAGAGGGATAGAGAGTTAGAAACATGGATGAGAGAGAGACATCGATCAGCTGCCTCTTGCACACCCTCCACCGGGGATGTGCCCGCAACCAAGGTACATGCCTTTGACCGGAATCGAACCTGGGACCCTTCAGTCCGCAGGCCGATGCTCTATCCACTGAGCTAAACCGGTTTCGGCTCTCCCCAGAATTACTGATCTGTGGTGAGCTGGCCTCTAGAACGACCCCGAGGTTCCCCTCTTCCCAGGGCCGCTCTGCCCCTGTGGAATCAACCCCCTTCCCGGAGGGCGGCCGGGCCTGGTGGCTCACACCTGACCCATGTGGCAGAAGGGAGGGGAGGTCACGTCCAAGGTCAGCTTCCAGGGCTGCCACCCTGAGTGCTCCCTGGGTCGCGGAGCTGCCCGGTGAGGGCACTCAGCCCGCCCAGGAGGGGCTCGGGGCGGACACGCTGAGCCTGTCGGCAGCCACGCGGTGAGCCTGGGAGCGGGCGCTCCAGCCCCAGGGGAGCTGCCAGCAGCCCCGGCCTCACTCACACCCGCCTCCATTTACTCCGCAGACACTGCGAGAAGCTTGCTGCTTTGCGCCACTAAATGCAGAGGTGATTTGTTCTGAATTTGTAGCCTACCAATAAATAACGAATATGGCCGAAACCGGTTTGGCTCAGTGGATAAAGCATTGGCCTGTGGACTGAAAGGTCCGGGGTTTGATTCCGGTCAAGGGCATGTACCTTGGTTGCGGGCACATACCCAGTAGGGGGTGTGCAGGGGGCAGCTAGTTGATGTTCTCTCTCATTGATGTTTCTAACTCTGTCTCTCTCCCTTCCTCTCTGTACAAAATCAATAAAATATATTTAAAACATAAATAAATAAATAAATAAATAAATAAATAAATAAATAAATAAAAAGGGAACTCCCCGTTAACAGGTTAAACTTTATTTAAAAAAAAAAAAATCAGCTGAAACCGGTTTGGCTCAGTGGTAGAGCGTCGGTCTACGGACTGAAAGGTCCCAGGTTCGATTCCGGACAAGGGCATGTACATTGGTTGAGGGCATATCCCCGGTAGGGGGTGTGCAAGAGGCAGCTGGTCAATGTTTCTCTCTCATCGACGTTTCTAGCTCTCTATCCCTCTCTCCTCCTCTCTGTAAAAAATCAATAAAATATATTTTTAAAAAATAAATAAATAATACCCTGTTTCCCCGAAAATAAGACAGTGTCTTATATTAATTTTTTTCTCCCAAAGTTGTGCTAGGTCTTATTTTCAGGGGATGTCTTATCTTTCCATGCGCTAGGTCTTATTTTCGGAGGATGTCTTATTTTCGGGGAAACACGGTATGTATCCTGTCCACAAGGCAGCGGCTTCTCCGACAGTGCTGCGAGGACAGAGGGCTTTTCCCCAGTCACAACGCAAAGGAATGCCAGAAGTGTCTCTATTTTAAAACTGTCTCCCATGGGGTAGCACTACCTCTCTACTCCCCCTTCCCCTCCCCCTCGGAACCCCTCTTTCACCCCCTGAGCACAGCGCCGGGCCCAGGCTGGAGCAAACCCTCCCGGGGAGCGCGGTGGGAGGACCGATGGTGAGGCTGGCGAGGGGCCGAGGCCCCAGAGGGCAGCTCTGCAGGCGCTGGCAGAGGCAGGAGGAGGGCTCTGCTTCTTGTCAGAACGGAGCTTCAAAATCCAACGGGCATCAGCCGCACTGTCTCCCCAGGGGTGCCAGCCCCGGGCCCTGGGAACGGGGACCTGCCTCTGCCCTCCCTCCCCAAACTGCCCCCTCTGACCTGAGTGTGGGTGAGCAGAGAGACAGCAGGGCGATGAACGTGGCCAGGGTCTTATCCGTCAGCCCCACCTTCCAAAAGCTGTGGGTGGAGGCGAGGAACGCAGCTGGAGCATCCTGCTTCCCACCCCCTCCTCCCTGCCACCCCTCCTCCTCCCCACCTCCCCAGGATCTTCCCTGTCTCTTCCCTTCCTTCCCCTGAGCCTTCCCCCCAGACTACCCCCCAGTCCCCTCACTTGATGGACTGCAGCTGGTTGAGGGGGGGCAGGCACTTGGAAAAGATGCCCAGGATCCTCTCCTCCACCTTCCAGCCTAGGAGGGGAGAGAAGGGCGGGGCCTCAGGCCCGGGCGGGGCTGGGGGGGGGGCAGGAGGGCGGAGGGGAGGGGGCCGGGAGGGAGGAGGGGAGGGCGCCCACCGCGGATGTAGATTTCCTTCACCGTCTTGTCCTCGGGCTCCAGTTCCACCTGGATCGTGGGCCGGAAGAACACGTACTTGCTCTCCAGGCTGTTGAGGCTGCAGGAGCCTGAGGGCCGCTGGTCATCTGTGGGGAAGAGGCGAGGAGCCGGGGGGAGGGGGTGGTGGGAGATGCTGGCCGGGGCCTCCGCTGCTGGGGCCGGGCTGCGGTCTGCCAGGTTTGGAGGGAGATTTCCCTGCACCTGCCCCCTGAAGCCCCCACCACCACTTACACCCCCCACCCCCCGCCATGCAGCCCCCGGTGCAGGGGGAGGCTGCGGGGGATGAGGTGGCCCCGGCGGGCACCCAGCTCCAGTCACTCACCCACCGGCTTCTCCGACGCCGAGGAGGAGGGGACAAAGGTGGGGTGCGGGCGGGGCCGGGTGACCACTTTGGGGAAGTCCGAGTAGCCCAGGCGGGTGCAGAGCTCCGCGAAGTCGGTCTCCAGGGACCCGGTGCACTGGTACTCCTCTGCGGGCGGGCGACAGGGGGCAGCGCAGGGGGCTCGGCCTCAGGGGGCGGGGAGGCCCCCTCTGCGGTGGACGGTCTTACAGACGTTTAACAATGTCAGACCCACCGAAACCCGTTTGGCTCAGTGGGTGGAGCGTCAGTCTGTGGACGGAGGGGTCCCAGGTTCGATTCCAGTCAAGGGCATGTACCTTGGTTGTGGGCACATCTTCACTGGCAAGCTGATCGATGTTTCTCTCTCATCGGTGTTTCTTTTCTTTTTAAAAAAATATATTTCATTGATTTTTTACAGAGAGGAAGAGAGAGGGATAGAGAGTTAGAAACATCGATGAGAGAGAATCATCGTTCAGCTGCCTCTTGCACACCTCTTACCGGGGATGTGCCCGCAACCAAGGTACATGCCCTTGACCGGAATCGAACCTGGGACCCCTCAGTCCACAGGCCGATGCTCTATCCACTGAGCCAAACTAGCTTCGGCTCATCGGTGTTTCTAACTCTCTATCTCTCTACCTTCCTCTCTGTAAAAAACAATAATAATAATACTAATCAATGAAATATAAAAAAATAAAAATAAAAAAGCCTTCCAATAAGTTCCCCTTGGTGGATCATTAACTTAGGTTGAGGTTCTATCACTTGCAACACACAGAGCCACACTCCCACCTAGACTTTTCGTGGTTTTTTGGTTTTTATCGCCGAGAACGTAAATTCCATGCGTGCGAGACTGTGCCCATCTTTCTCTCCGTGTTGCTTCTGGCTGAAGAGCAGGCTCCTTCTGGTAGTCCACACACACACACACACACACACACACACACACCCCGCCTCCCATCCTCCCCTGGTCCTCCTTTTCTCACACATCCCATCACAGCTATTGTCTTCGTCAGCACCGCAGAGTGTGGGCTCTTTAAGGTCAGTTCCGTTCGCACATCTGCCAAGCTGAGATTCCAGAACTGTGATGTGAGTCAAACTGGGATCCATATTCCAGGACGGAGCGGCGAGCTGGGCACACAGTGGGTGTGCAGTGCAAGCTTGCTGAGTGAACCAATGAGTTTGCAGTCTACAAAGCACGTCTCCACCTCCATAGGCAGGGCATGCATGGCACATCTCCATGCACAGGGAAGAGCCGTGCCCGAGGCCACACGCTTCATGCCGTGACCACTTACCACACTCCTGCACGTGCCAGGAGCCGGCACCTTCACACGCTGGGCGTCAGCGGGTGGAGTCCTTTCCCTACAGCACTTCTCTGCGCCAGAAATCCTATTATTATTTCCCGGATCGCCTGTCTGCCCCGCCCAGCTCTCCAGTTCGGTGCCCGGCACCACAGCGCACCCTCTGGCCTGGCCGCCCCCCCAGCCCCGCTGCCAGCCTACCGGGGTTTTTGGGCTCCTCCTCGCCCACCGGCACCAGCACTGTCGTCGTGGGCTTCTCCTTGGGCGCGCGATCCCCCTTCTTGGTCACTGTGCCCGACGACTTCTGGATCCCGGACCGCGTGGGCCTGGGGGAGGCGCCCTGCGTGCCCGACTCGACAGACATGCCAGACCCTGGGGACCCTCCGGGGGCGATCGGCCGGCTCAGGGGTCTCTGCTCCGCGCCCACCAGCCGGGCAGCGGCGCGGTTTCCGCGTCCCTCTCCATGGCAACCACAACGACGCCGGCGGGGCGGCCGCCCGCGGGAAGGGGCACCCGCAGTGCGCGCTGCGCGTGGCCACCAGAGGGCGCTGCTGGGAGAGGCGCAGCCGCAGGCGGCGGGGCGGGGGCGCAGGAGGCGGGGGAGGGGGAAAGGGGCAGGAGCGACAGGACCTGGGTGGCAAGTGAGATCTAGGGGGCAGGTGAGCCCTGGAGGGACCGGCCCTGCGAACCCTTTGGGAAGGGTTCGAGCCAAGGTTCCCCCACCACCCAGGAAGAGCCGGGGCGGAGGGGACGGGGCTAGATGTGACCAGAACGAGGGGTGGGAGCTAAGGCCGGTGGGCGCTTCCAGCCATCCAAAGGCCCCCAGGAATCTGAGCCCAAGGAAGCGGAGCTGGTTCAGCCTATCAGGAAGGGGGTGTCTGAGGAATCTGGGGAGAGCCCCGGTGGGACAGATCCTCTCTCTGGGTCTGCCCCCCCCCCCCCGGCCTGTCAGGAGGGGCTCCTGGTGGAAAAGGCTCAGAGAGACCACAGTGAGCTGGGGTGGAGCTGGGATCCTGTTTTCCACAGAAAGCACCTGTTTGGCCTCCTCCAGGCCTGGGAACGTAGCTGATCTGCTAAAGAGTTCATGAGTCTGGCAATGCTTTTTAGAAATCTTGAGTTCTAAGTGCTCAGGTAGCCCAGACCCTCATTTGAGTATATCCTCTCCCGTCTGCCTGCCTGCCTCCCCCACCCCTCTCAGTGCCACTGCCCCGGTGCCACTCCCAGCCCTCCCCAACTCTCAGCCGGGGTGCAGGTCCCCTGTAGAGAGGCCAGCCTGGGGTAGGCTCCCCACCGTGCAGACTATTAATTCAGACACGCCATTTCCCTCTGTCCGAGCACTCACCACAGGGGACTGATATTTTAACTCCCTCAGCCGCTCAGTCTGTTAGGGAACATTCATCGAGTGCCTGTTATGTCCCAAGGGGAACTGACGTTGAGCACAAACGCAGGGGACTTACAGACTGGTGGGAGGAGCAGAAACCAATCAAAGAATCGCATAAACAACACATCCCAGAGGAGCCCGGTGCCCGGCAGGCCTCCTGGAGCACCTGTTGGGTGCATGCAGCTGCTACCAGTGCCCTTAAAGAGGGCGCTGCCCAGAGCAGGGCTGTGAGAGCAAACAGGTCCACAGGGGACGGGGAGAAGGGCACCCCAGATGTGAAGTCCCTGCAAGAAGTATGGCTGGAGGGAGGACTGGGAGCCGGTGCCACTGAGGCAGAGCGGCCGCGAACGCAGGTCAGGGTGAGGCCGGCAGAGCCTTTCCCTCGGCCCTCTGAGCTGGCTCTGGCCAGGAACAAGGGGGCAGCATGGAGACTCTCAGACAGGGGCCACCTGGTCAGCTTGTACGTGGAGCAGCTGGCTGGCCGGGGCTCTGAGTGGATGCAGGGGGCCGGTGAGGAGACTTGCTAGTTAACTGGTTTGGGGCTGCCTCTCTACTAAATGGTGAGCGCCTATCCCTGATTCCCCTCTGACCCCCCCACCCCACCCCACACACACGCAAAAGCTCACACATACACAGAGCCCAGCCTGGAGTGCAGCGAAAAGGTGCTCAGTATACGTTTTTTACATCGATATGAAGTCAGTTACCATGCTCAGCCCGCCTGTCTCTGTGCACAGGCCCTGGCAGCCGGGGGCGCAGTGGGCGGGGGAAGGGAAGGCAGGCTTCCTGCCAACCAGCGTCCCGGTGAGGGAGCGGGGGCCAGGCTCCCCCTCACCGTTCACGTCCTCCATTCACTCTGTTCATAACCACGTTCACGGCCACGGCCTGCCAGGCCCCTCCTGCTCCGGGCAGGGCTCGGCCGGCTCCGTCCCCAGCCCTGGGCAGCAAGAACAGGTGTGCTGGCCTCCGCACGCCATCCTGGCCCCTCAGGGGTCCCGGTGCTGAGGCGGAGGGGAAGGGGGGTGCCGAACGGGAGGCAAATCATAGTGTCCGGGGATGTGGCTGTTCTTGGGCGAGTCGTAGTGGCCGGGGGCCGGGCCGAGAGGCTGGGGGTGCTGGGAGCCCACGGAGTCCGGGTCTGGAGACAGAGAAGGGACAGCATGAGGAGGAGGTGGCCTCCCCTTCTGCCTCCTCTCCCTTCTGCCTTCTCCAGCCTCCTCCGCCCGAAGCAGAGCTGGAGCCTGGCTGCAGGGCTGTTGGTGCAGCTTCTCAGCTGCCGTGGAGGGGGCCACCTTCACCTGCCCCCCCACCGGACATGAGGACACTCTGTCACCTGCCCATGTGCCCTCCCTCCCCCCATGCTCGCCCCCTGCCCGGTTCCACACTTTTCTGGGGACCAACCCACACGCCATGGGCTGTACGACCGCCATGTCAGTCCTCAGCCGGTAAGGGGGTCCCCCCGCTCGGGCTCTAAGCAGCCACGTGAGTCCCAGCTTCCTGCTGGGCTGGGCCCACGTCGGACCCCATGGCCTTGCTCTTGCTGCCTCAGCGTGCCACCTCCATGTTCTCTCTCCGCCCTTCCTCCCCCCCTGACGCTTCTCCCTCCCACCTCGGCCCCTGGCCCAGCGGAGGCTCACCGTGGGGCAGAGCTCTGGGCCCCAGCGGGGGGGGGGGGGGGGCAGAGCACTGGGCCCCAGCGGGGGGCTCACCGTGGGGCAGAGCACTGGGCTGCTCGTAGGTCCCGCTGTCCCCCTGCGGCTGGGGGTGGGGGTGGGGGTTCCGCGGCCTCTGGCTGGCCGGGAGCTGGGGAGGCTGCTGGAGGGGCGATCCTGAGGGGGGGCCTTTCATTTCCACGTAGCTGCTCTCCCGGGGGCCCCCCAGCAGGCTGGGCAGGTCCCGGATGGTGGCGTAGGGGTTCTCACTGCTCAGGGAGGCCATGCTGGCCCCCAGCCCGTCTTCAGAGATGGGCCCTGAGGGGGGGGAAGCATTCCAGCTCAGGAGAGGTGCAGCCCCTCCCCCCCTCCCCGCACTCCTGTGCTCCTACCTTTACCGTGGAATGGGCCTGGGCCCGGGCCGTTACTGTTGCCGTAGCTACAGCTGTAGCTTCGGTCTAAGCGGCTGCTACCTGAGGAGGAGGAGGAGGAAGCAGCCCGCAGTCACACTCCTGGGCTCAGCCTCCTCGAACCCTGGTGCCCCAAACCCCTCCCGCAGAGGCGCCCGCTCAGACGCACCCCCCGCCCTCACCAGGGCCCGGCGCCTACCCCTGTCCAGGTGCTTCCAGTCGGCGGGCAGCGTGGTGTGGTTATCGGGCCCATGGGCTCCACCTGGCCGCTCGGGGGCCTGCAGGCTGGCAAAGAGCTGACTGCCGGGAGCCTGACGGGGGGAGGGGCAGGGATGGAGCTTTCCAGAGAAGCAGGTGTTTGCCTCTCCCCACAGGGCCCCCTCCGCAGGCAGCACTGACCTTGTTGGGGGGCGGAGGGTTGGGTGAGCACTGGGACAGGGTGTGGTAGCTGGGGTTGGAGTAGTAGTGGCTGTAGCTCAGAGGGATATCTGCAGGAACAGACACGGGCACAGGGTGACACGCGCGCGCACACACACACACACCCCCGTCGGAGACAGGCCTGGGCCCAGGAAAGCTATTCTGACCCCGGAGACCAGGAACCAGCCCCTCCGACGTCCCTTCCTCCTCCAGCTCCTCACTTCCCAGCTCCCAGTCTGGGGAGAGAGCCAGGAGCCCGGTGCCTACGAGCCAGCTCCTGGGAGGTGCCCCCCCACCCCCTGCCCCCCGCGTGCTCACCTGGCATGACATACTCGGAGCCATCCAGCCGCCCGCTGCTGTACGCCACCGCCAGGTGCTGATGCTGCTTGCCTTTTTGCCAGCGGCGGTAGCCGATGAACAGTGCCACCAGGGCCACCACCAGGGACCCCAACACGGCAATGCCAATCACGGCCCCCAGTGAGTTGTAGGGCACTGGAAAGGTAGGCATCATGGTGAAGGGCTCCTGGCTCCCTGGTGGGTAGGGGCAGTCATTCAGAACAGGGTCTCGGCTCTGCTGGTGAGCGTGGGGGGCATGCACGGGAGAGACTCCCAGGTGAGGGGCCAAGATCCTGGCAGGTGCCCGGGCAGGTGCCAATGTGCCCTCATTCCCTGGGGATAGTCAGGGCCCAGAGGAGAACTCACCAATCCTGCAGGGGGCACCGCTGTGCCCCGGAGGACACACACAGGCCCCCGTCTCTGGGTGGCACCTCTCTCCAAAACCACACTGGCACGGTTGGGAGCAATTGGCACCAAACATCCCCGGAGGACAGCCTGGAGAGAGCCAGGGGGGTGGGCGGGGGTCAGAGGCTGCCAGGACACTGGGCTGGGGCTGATGTGGGCACAGGGGCATGGAGCTCTGCTTCTGTGGGTACCTTCCAAGCAGAGGCGTCCGGTCCAGCCTGGGGGGCAAAAACAGCTTCCGTCCTGGGGGTGGCAGGTCCCGCCGTGGTGACACTGGCAGGGCTGGGCGCAGCTGTCGCCCCAGCGTCCCGGAGGGCATGCTGGGGGGGGAGAGGTGGGCTGCCTGGGTGCCGGCCCAGCCCCCCTCCCCGCACCAGGTGGATTCTGGGCCCCAGCAGCACGGAAACCCTCCCCGCAGTGCGGGCCTCTCTCCCAGGGACGCCAAGACTTTGAAAAGTGTCCACACTCGGTGACACACACGCTGACCGGCAGGCCCATGTGCTCAGCCGCCTCCTAAACGCCTGCCCGTGACTGTCTAATGGCCATTCTGATCAGCGTGGCCGGCCAGGTGGCCAGAGCCGTCCAAACTTCCTGCCCTGTGTAACTCTAGGCTTTTTTTTTTTTTTTTTTTTTTAATACATTTTATTGATTTTCTACAGAGAGGAAAGGAGAGGGACAGAAAGCCAGAAACATCGATGAGAGAGAAACATCGACCAGCCGCCTCCTGCACACCCCCTACCAGGGATGTGCCCGCAGCCAATATACATGCCCTTGACCGGAATCGAACCCGGGACCTTTAAGTCCGCAGACCGACGAGTAGCTCTAGACTTTAAAAAAAAAATTGTTTAATGTGACACAAGTAAATGTTCACCCTGTTTAAGGTGTAATTGTTGTCTCTCTGATACTAGCCAATAATCTAGTAGCAGTTATTACTGAATCCCATGGCAAAGCTCTTCACCAGGATGGCTTTTCTCTCCCTGCCTGACAGTGAGCTTCCATCCAGCCTGTTTCATAGCAATAGCTTCTCCTTTCCCTTTGCAAAACCTATTTCACGTGGTTGTTTTGCGTTCGTCTTTTCCATGATGTTCTTCATATATGTACCAGAGGCCTGCTGCACGGAATTCGTACAAGAGCAGGCCTTCCTTCCCCCGGCTGCCAGCACCGGCTTCCCTCTGGCACCGGGACCCAGCAGGCACCGGGACCCGGGCTTCCCTCCGGCCCCCAGCAGGCACCTGGGCCCGGGCTTCCCTCGCAGAGGGGGACCCTGCCCTCCCGCCGCAGCCCGCTGGTGGGTGGCAGCTGGATTCGGCCCCCGCAGCCTCCATGGCTTGCCTCGGCCCTTGCAGCCCCAGCTTCATCCAGAAAGTCCTCTGGAAGGTTTATTCAGCTGTCTGTTCTAATTAGCATATTACGCTTTTATTACCATAGATGTGAGAAAGAATGAATGAATGAATTAATTAATTAATAAGAAACTGAGCCGAAACTGGTTTGGCTCAATGGATAGAGCGTCGGCCTGCGGACTAAAAGGTCCCGGGTTCGATTCCGGTCAAGGGCATGTACCTTGGTTGCGGGCACATCCCCAGTGAGGGGGATGCAAGAGGCAGCTAGCTGATCAATGATTCTCTCTCATCGATGTTTCTAATTCTCTATTCCTCTCTCTTCTTCTCTGTAAAAAATCAATAAAATATATTTTTAAAAATGGTGTTTCTAAAAAAAAAAGAAGGAAAGAAAGGAACTGAGCTTGTGGCCTGGCCGATGTAGCTCAATGGTTGTGCACTGACCCAGGAATCAAGAGGCCATTCAGTTCAGTCCCGGTCAGTGCACATGCCTGGGTTGTAGGCTTGATGCCCAGTGGGGGGTGTGCAGGAGGCAGCTGATCGATGATGTTTCTCTCATTGATGTTTTTATCCTTCTCCCTTCCTCTCTCTCTAAAAGATCAATAAAAAACGTGTGTGTGTTTTTAACTGAGCTTATGGCTTCCCTCACCCCCTTCCTTAGGTCTCCCAGGGAGAAGGTCAGGAAGCTGTTCTCCTGGCCTGTTCACTGCTCCGTCAGCTTTTGTTTATGTTGTTTATGTAACTGACTGACTCAGGGCGGTTCCAGAGGCTTCTATCCCCAGCAGCAGGGGAACAGAGGCCGCCGGTTCTCAGCCCGCCCTCCGGCAGGCACCTGCTCTCAGACCCACGAGCCACCACGCACCTTGGGAGCAGTCTGAGCCAGTCCAGCCGGCCAGGCAGTAGCAGGTTCCATTGGAGGGGTGGCAGGAGGAGTGGTTGGCACACTTGCAGGGCACACAGCGTTTGCCATAGCGGCCGGGCTGGCAGGCTGGGAGAAAAGGGTTCCTGGTGACCGGGGGCCAACAGCCCTTGATCCCACTCCCTCCCTCCCTCCTCCCCGCTGGCCCCAGGATTGGAATCGGTGGGAGAAGACAAGATGGCAGAGCGGAAGGCTTCTGACACCACGCTGCGCCACCTGCTGGCGGGGGCGGAGGGAGGCAGCCTCACCTCTCTGGCAGGAGGGACCCCGGAAGCCAGGCACACACACACAGCTGCCGTTCTGGGGGATGCAGGTGCCCCCGTTCCTGCAGGTGCAGGTGTTGCTGCAGTTGGCTCCCCAGAGGCCCTCGGGGCAGGGCAGGTGGCAACGGGCACCTGTGGGAGAGAGGAACAGGGTGAGCCTGGCCCGTCCTGCCCCTTCCGTAAAGGTTCTTCTGGACACATTTCTTTCTTTCTTTTTTAAAAAACATATTTTATCGTTTTTTTACAGAGAGAGGGACAGAGTTAGAAACATCGATGAGAGAGAATCATAGATCAGCTGCCTTTTGCACCCCCCCCCCCACCGGAGATATACCCGCAACCAACATACATAACCTTGACCGGAATCGAACCTGGGAATTTCCAGTCCACAGGCCGACGCTCTATCCACTGAGCCAAACCGGTTTCGGCTGGACACATTTCTTGGAGTCTGCTGGTATACCCCCAACTCCACAATGGTCACCCAGAATACTCACCTGTCCAGCCAGCCTGGCACCGGCACTGCCCATGGACAGGGTCACAGCCCTCAGAGTGGTCACAGTCACAGCGATGGGCACAGCCTTCACCAAACTTCCCCTTCTGGGAGAGGGAGTGGAGGGGAGGGCAGGCTAGTCAGCTGAGGGATGCCAGGCCCCCCTCCCTCCAGGCAGGAGGCTGTGGGGCACTTACCGGACAGGGGAGCTGGCAGTGGACCCCGTGCCACCCCGGGGTGCAGGTACAGGCTCCGGTTTGGGGGCTGCAGGCCGCCTCATGGGCACACTGGCAGCTGGCATTGCAACCGAATCCCCAGGTTCCAGGAGGGCAGGGCACCGAGCAGTTGCCGCGTTGCCAACCTAGAAGGGAGGCTGGGGTAGGCATGGGGGCCAGTTCCTCTCCCGGGGGAGCGCACGCTAAGCACTGACTGCACCAGGCTCTGCGCTACGAGTTGGGGGTGAAGTGGGGGTGCTCGTGGTCCCTCACAAGAGACAAGCATCGACACTGTTAGACGTGTCACGGATGCTTCTTCTGCAAAATGAAGGGGGTCGGCAGCAAACCGAATGCTCACAGAGCCCCAACAGGTACCTAAGTGAATTCTCCCCGCCTGTGGAAGAGCGGGGACTGGAGAGGGAGGTTTGTAAACATACGAGAGAGCTAGCCTGTGTCAGAACGCAGCCCACAGGCTGCCACCCTGCACCCCTGGAGATCTGGGGGCCCTGCCTGGCGCTGCCCCTCCGTGGCTATGTATCGCGGGGGGCGAACAGGGTCCCCAAAGAGGGGCCTTTAAGGTAAGGTGACCAGACGTCCCGCTTTTGGCGGGTCAGTCCCGATTTTTAACCATTTGTCCCACATTGCCGAAACCGGCTTGGCTCAGGGGATAGAGCGTCGGCCTGCGGACTGAAGGGTCCCAGGTTTGATTCCGGTCAAGGGCACATCCCCAGTAGGGGGTGTGCAAGAGGCAGCTGATCGATGATTCTCTCTCATCGATGTTTCTCTCTATCCCTCTCTTTTCCTCTCTGTAAAAAAAAAACAATAATAAATATATATATATATTTTTTTAAATTGTCCCGCGTCCCGCTTCGGGACTTTTTGAAAACGCCACGGGACGCGGGACAAATTGTTAAAAATCGGGACTGTCCCGCCAAAAGCGGGACGTCTGGTCACCATCCTTTGAGGATAAGTGGGGTTTCTGCAGCTGAAGAAAAAGCAAATTGGAGATTCCAGGAAGGAAGCAGCCTGGCTCCTTTCCCACGTCCCCGCCGCCGCCCGGCAGCTCCCCCCTTACCCGGCCCCTCCCTCCTCCCCGGGGCCCGCCCCCGCCCGCCCCCTCCCCCCCCCCCCCCCCCCCGGCGCCCCGTTACCTTCCTTGCAGACGCAAGCGCCGTCCACGGGGGAGCAGGCGATGGCGTTCTCGCAGGAGCAGCGCGAGGAGCAGTTGAGCCCGTAGGTGTCGGGCGGGCAGAGGCTGGCGCAGTGCGGGCCCTGGAGGCCGCGGGCGGAGCGTGAGCAGCGGCTCCGCCCTCCCTCCTCCTCCCCCCTCCCCCCCCCTCCCGTCCCGTTAGCTGGGGCTCAGCTCACCGTGTAGCCGGGCGCGCACCGGCAGAGGCCGCTGTCGGGCTGGCAGAGGCCGCCGTGCAGGCAGAGGCAGTGCTCGCGGCAGCCCGGCCCGTGCGTGTCCCGCGGGCAACTCTCGTTGCAGCTCAGGCCGGCCCAGCCCGGCTGGCACGCGCACTCCCCGCTCATCGGGTGGCAGCTGCGGGCGAGGCCGGGTGCGCTCTGAGCCGGGGCCTCGGGCCAACCCAGACCCCTTTGCTGGGGAGGGGGGACAGCCCACCATGCCAGGGGAGGGGGCAAGAGCGCCCTGCTACCCCGTCCCAAGGCCCCTCTTTTCCCTCCTGTGACCTCCGTCCCGCCCGTGCATGTGCCCCGGACAGGACCCAGGCGGCTCCGGCACCGGAGGCCTCGCCCACGGGCCGCCCGGGTCCTGGGCCGGTCCCGGGCCCACCTGAGGCTGTGCTGGGGGTCGCAGGCGCAGGGCAGCTGGCAGCTGAGGCCGTAGAAGCCGTCGCGGCAGAGGCGCTCGGTGCAGCGGTGCCCGGTGAAGCCGTGCTCGCACAGGCAGGCGCCGTTGGGGAAGCAGCGGGCGCCGGGCGCGCAGTCGCAGGTCTCGGCGCAGTCCTGACCGAAGTGGCCCACCGGGCACTCCTCCCGGCACCTGGGCGCCCGGCGGGGTGAGCTTGGCAGCCGCGGCCGCCCTCCCGGCCCGTCCCCCCAGCCTCCGCCATCCCGATGCCACTCACCTCTCCCCCGTGTAGCCGGGGGCACAGCTGCAATGCCCCGTCAGCGGGTCGCAGAGGCCCCCGTTGTGACAGCGGCATTCCTGGGAGCAGTTGGGGCCGTGGAAGCCCTGGGCGCAGGGCAGGGTGCAGATGGCGCCCTGCGGAGTGAGAGGTTGGCAGACTCCCGGGCACTGGGTCTCCCCCTGGTCCCAGGACCCTCGAGTGCGCCCACACCAACAGCCCTCACACCGCTCCGGGGCCCCCGCTGCACGTGCTCCCTCCCCGAGCCCTCCCAGCCCACCCCGGCCCACAGGCGCCCTTCTTACCATCCAGCCAGGCGGGCAGCTGCAGGAGCCGCGGGAGGCCTCGAAGACGCCCCCGTGGTGGCAGGGAGAGGTGCTGGGGCAGAGGAGGCCAACGGGGCCCTGGACACAGGACACCTCACAGCTGGCGGGCAGAGCAGGGCAGGTCAGAGCGGGTCGGTGTGAGCAAGCAGGACTTGCCTCCCCGTGGCCCTAAGGCCTGACTGCAGGGCTCAGTGAGCACACACACACACACACACACACACACACACACACACACACCCCAGCCCCCCTGTAGGGGACTATGGCATCAGAAAGCAAAACTTGCCGAAACCGGTTTGGCTCAGTGGATAGAGCCTCGGCCTGCGGACTGAAAGGTCCCAGGTTCAGTTCCGATCAAGGGCATGTACCTTGGTTGCAGGCACATCCCCAGTGGGAGGTGTGCAAGAGGCAGCTGATCGATGATTCTCTCTCATGGATGTTTCTAACTCTCTATCCCTCTCTTTTCCTCTCTGTAAAAAAATCAATAAAATATGTTTAAAAAACAAACAAACAAAAAAAACAAACAAGGAAGCAAAACTTTCCAAGACTGGAAATGGCAGAGACACAGCACCACCAGGTGTGGCAGAGTGAAGGCCCCAGACCCCGGTCCGCCTCCGCCTCGGCCCCTGCTGCTCCTTCTGGGGGGCCTCTCCCTGCGTGGAGGTCTCAGCTCGGGGTCCTCCATGCCGCCAGGCGGTGGCTCCCACCCAGTGAGCCTTCTCCCCGCTGGGCTCCCAGCCCTCCCTGTCCCCGGCCCTGCCCGGGGCTCCCTGTCTCAGCCCCACGTGATGACACACACGCTTTCACGCATGCTCTCATATGATCTTCACAGGAACCTTCCCACGTGGTAACGCTGTTGCCGCTGCACAGACAGGAACCAAGCTCACAAAGCCAATGACTGGCCCAAGGTCACTCAGCCAGGGGGCGGCGCCGGGACTGGGGTCTGGGCCTCTGGGCGCCACCCCTCCCTTTGGAGCCCAGCAGAGTCCCTGCACACGCCTGTGTGTGCCAGCGGGGTCCTGTGCCTGTGCCCCACCACACACACCGGGGCCCCGTCCTCTCCGGGGGGCAGAAGCAGGCTCCGGTCTGGGGGTCGCAGGGTGCCCCGAGGCAGCTGCAGGGGAGCTGGCAGGCGGGGCCGTAACGGCCACGGGGGCAGGGCAGAAGGCAGCGGGGGGGCTGCAGGCCAGGGGGGCAGGAACAGGCCCCACTCTTGGGGTCACAGGAGCTGCTGTTGCCACAGCGACAGGGCTTGTCGCACTGGGGTCCCCACACGCCCGGGGGACAGTCTGTGAGAGGAGGAGGGTGGGAGAGGTCACCGGGAGTCTCCCCTTCCCCCCCCAGCCTCCAGCTAATCCTTGTCCCTGCCTCCCATCCCCCACAGACGCCACGTCTGGCTTGGCCCAAACTCTGCCACATCCCCAGCAAAGGCAGCGGAGAGCAGCGGCCGCCAACCGGCAGAGCCCTGGTGGCCCGTGAGGTCCGAAAGGGACTCGGGTGGTACCTGCCAGGGCCCTGGCACCTGTGCCCGGCTCGGAGGGGTGCCCGAGGCCCTGCCATCGCTCACCACTGGAGCAGTCGTCGCCGCGCCAGCCTTGCACACACTGGCACTGGTTGGGTGCCACGCAGCGGCCGTGGACACACTCCTGGACGCAGAGCGCTGGGCAGAGACAGGGAAGGGGGAAGGGGCTTGCCAGCCTGCCCTCACCCCCTCACACTGAGCCCGTCTCCCTCCCCCACCAGGGCCTGGCCCTCTGAGCAGCACCCGCCTCTAACACGCGGAAAGGCTGAGGACTCTGGGCTCCGGGCCCTCCGGGGAAACCCTGGAGGCCCCCTGAGGGTCCTCTAAGGGGAGAGGGTCCTCAGGGAGCACCGAGGCACGGGCGCTGTCCGGAGACTGGGGTCCAGGGTAGGTCAGGCGAGGCAGGGCTGATGGCGGGCCAGAGGTGAGGCGAAGAGAGAGGCACAGCAGGGTGTTGAGATGGGGGAGCAGGGACAGGAGAGACCGAACAGCAACAAGTCAGAGACAGAGAGACAGGGGCAGATGCAGACATCACACACACACACACACACACACACACACACACAGTGAGAGACGCAGGCAGACTGGAGCCGGGAGAGGCAGGACGCCAGGAGGCGGACAGACTGCGGAGGGGTGTAAGGAGGGGCATGAGGAGGGGCGAGGGGAGGGGGTGTCCCTAGGGACGCCGCCAGGTGAGCGGGAGGAGGGGGCACCCAAAGGGCAGAGGAGTCCCCCGCCCGGGTGGCTGCAGGGAAGGCCTAGCGGGGGCCCGGACTCACGGACGCAGGCCCCACGGCTCTCGTAGAAGCCCTGGCAGCACTTGAGGCGCTTCCGGTGGTCCAGCTTCACCACCTGGCGGTAGACAGTCCTGTAGACAACCCTGGGGAGACCGAAGGCCGTCAGGCTCCCTGCTGAGGCCCAGCACCCCCCCGAACCCCACCCCCCATGCAGAGCAGCACTGTGGGAGGCCTGGGGCCCGTCCAGCGCTCTGGGCTGGGAGAGCGTGGGCCACCCCACCCTGGAGGGCCCGGCCGCCAGATGCTTCCTCCAAACCCCGAAGGTCCCGAGGAAAGAATGAGGGGGCAGGGCACTCACGTGGGCTGGGGGCAGGTGTGGGGGCTCAGCCAGGGCTGACTGCAGGCCTCCGAGGGGAGCAGACTGAACGGGCGCAAGTGGGACTCCTTGGTGGTGGTGGTGAAGCTGCAAGACAGGAAGGGCCGGGGCCGGGCCAGGGGAGGCCTGAGCTGGCACAGGGGCCGGAGAAGCAGGGGCGTGAAGCTCGGCCACAGCGGGGAATCGCCGCCCCAACCTTTGAGCTGGCTCCCCCAAACCTGGAATGAACCCACATCCTGCCCTCCGGTCTGAAGGGATCCTCCCAGAATTAGAATATTCCTGGAACCCCTTTCCCCCCACATCAGAGCCCCTCTCACCCGACAGGACCGGAGCTGGCGTTTTCCCTCCTCCTCCTCCCCATGCAGGGAGGTGGAGGTGGCGCCCAGGCATTTCTGGCCAAATCCTGCCCTTGGCCTTGTTTCCCTGCCCTGTCCTTTATGCCCCCCGGGCCAGCTCCTCTGCTCACACACACACACACACACACACACACACACCCGCTGAAAATGGCTCCTATTCTGTGCCCTGTCCTGCAGCCAGACTCCCACTGAGGCCAAGGGCCTGGGATAGAGAAAGGACAGACAGGGGCAGAGCTGGGATGGAGACTGAGGCAAGGTCAGAGAGGGGGAGAGAACCAGAGGCAGCCATGGAGGGGAGGGGAGCGCAGAGCAGAAACAGACAGGAGGCGAGGGCTGGGGAGAGGGCGGGAGGGCGGGAAGAGGGGCCCTCCCTCGTGGGGAGGGTGGGGAGCTGGGGGCTTGGGGCCCTCATGGTGCAGCAGGGCCCCTCTCACCTTTCCCAGAAGCTGCAGGTGTTGGGGTCGTTGGGGTTGAGGGTTCCGGCCAGCCCCAGGCCCAGGGCCAGGAGGAGGGAGCGCAGAGGAGGAGACGTGGCGGAGGCCTGCGACATGGCGTGGCCGTGCGGGGTCCGCAGCCACAACCTAGGCTCTGAGGACCCGGTCTCCGGGGAGGCCTGAGCAGGTGAGAGGAGAACAGGCTGCTGCCATGCCTCCTGCCCCTGGTGCCTGGCCCAGCTCCCAGGCCTCTACCTGCCCAGCTCCCAGGCCTCGTTCCTGCCCGGGTGGGGCACCCAGCGCTCACACCGCCCCCCTGCCCGGGTGGGGCACCCAGCGCTCACACCGCCCCCCTGCCCGGGTGGGGCACCCAGCGCTCACACCGCCCCCCTGCCCGGGTGGGGCACCCAGCGCTCACACCGCCCCCCTGCCCGGGTGGGGCACCCAGCGCTCACACCGCCCCCCTGCCCGGGTGTCCTCCCTCGACTCTTCACCTTGAGTTCTAACCTTCAAGATGGGGCCCCAAGTGCCACCCTTGCCTCTCTGCTCTGCTCCTTGACCCCCCACTAGCAGACTGCCCCCCATTCCTTCTGGAGCCCCGGCACTACCCCCCCCCCCCCGCCACACACACACACACACACACACACACACACACACCACTGTTCCTGTGCCTATTTCCTGATCAGCCTTTTCTCTCCAGAGTCTCCAGCCCCAGCCCAGCCCTACCCAGGGCACTTCAGTATTTACACCAAGATGTGAACCCGGAGCCCATGGGGGCAGGTTAGAGGGAAGCCCCGGGCTCAGCCGGAGGGAGAGCTTTCTCACGGGCAGAGCAGTCGGCCGCCTCAGGGTGAGCTCCCCATCCCGCCTGTGTGCCGGCCGAGGCCACACCACCCTGATGTGGTGGCAGGCGTCCTGCTCTCGGGGACGCAGGAGGCTGGCTGGGCCCGGTGACCTTGAAGGCCGTCCTCCCAGCCTCTCCATGGACCCGTGAGGACAATGGGCTCAGCCCGCAGCTCCTGAGGTCGTGTAAGTAGCTTGAGATCACACCACGGAAATGGACACCACACACACACCACGCGCGCGCGCGCACGCACACACACACACACACACACACACACACACACGCCAGGCCGCCGCACACAAACACACCAAGTCAGTCAAACACTGGCCAGTCATCACGCACCCAGCTCCAGGAGCTGTCACCCGAGGGGGCCCCCCACCTGGCCTCAGGTTTAACGAGAGCACCCACCGCCCTCGGGGCACCCGTCAGCATCTGGAAGTGGGCTCCTCTCCCTCTCCTCCACCCCAGCCGCGCCCCGTGGTGGGAAGCGGGCCAGGACCCCGATGGAGCCTGTTCTGGGAGACTGGGCTCGGCGCGGCCGCCCCCGCTGCCGGTTTCAGATTCCATGTTTAACGTTCCTAAGACCGCGCCCCCCTCCCGCTCTGCACCTCCGGGAGCGCTCACATCTGCTTACGATTTGGGAGCAGCAAGGCCGGCTGCTGGCCTCCTGTACCCCTGAGTATCTCTGGAATGCTCAACGCCGGGCCCCACACATGCCCCCCACCCACACACTCCGCCAGGACCTCAGCCTCACCGGAAGCAGAGACCCACAGGGATCCCTCTCCTCCCAGGTGGCCTCCCTCCCACGCCCTCTGGCCCTGCAGAGCTGCAGCCCCCCCCAGGCTGTCCATCACAGCTCCCTGCGGCCACGGCTCCGCCTCTGGCTTTTGTGCGTCCTCCCCCCCCCCCCCCAGGCCTCAGGCCGCTCACTCACTGCCAGTAGCTCACCAGGCCCAGCCGCAGTGGGAGCTCAGGTGAGCCCAGCAGCGTGCTGTGTGCTGTGTGTGGTCGGCAGGGTGGCCTCCAGGCCAGAGAGGGTCCCGGGGGACCCTGGTGCTCAGGGTATGGAGCCTGGAAACAGGAAGTGGAGATGAGATGGAATGTGTATTTGGGGGAGGGCAGCAGGGAGTGGGGCGACTCCACTTCCCCACTCAGCGGCTTGTCTCTCACGCTGAGCCCTGTGGCTCATGCTGAGGGGGTGAGGGCACTCGGCCTGTCCTCCGGGGCCAGCAGTGTCCTTCAGACCCCATAGCCCGACCCAGGGCCCCACCCCACAGCCTCCCACACATGCTGCCACCCCCTCCCAAACAGCTCCTTCCCCCAACCTCCACCAGCTACGCCCTCTGCACCCCCTCTGCACCCCCACGGCCCCCCAGCCACTGCCCCAGGCCCAGTGCCTACCTCCAGGGCTCGCCCTGTCTGCTCCCAGCGGGCCTCCCCCTTCTCCCTCCAGGGCTCAGCGGCCAGGGCCACGGGCAGCCCCCAGCCCTCCACACCACCCTGCCCACATTCCTTGTGCTGAGCCCTCCCGGGGCCCTGGCAGGGGGCCCTGTCCTCAGGCTGGAGCTCCCTCTGACTGGGTCCTGGACCCCCCCTGGCTAAGCCTCATCTCCAGCCACACCAGGACCCAGGCTTCCCCGGGCTGGGACCTGTCTCAGGCAGAGGCCCCAGTGAGGCGGGAAGGAGAGCGGCAGGAGGGCCGTGCAGATAGGGCTCCTGGCCCCACAGAAAGGCCTCCTTCCATTCACATCAGCCCCTCCCACGTCAGCCCCGCCTCTCCCCTTCTCCCATCTCCCTCCTCCCACCACCAGTCCCTCCATCCTCCCCCCATCTCCCTCCTCCACCAGCCTCCAGAGGAGCTGGTTCTCCAGGGCTCTGAGGGGCCTGCAGGCGGGCAGGAGGGTGAGGAGAGCCGGGGGCATAGCAGAGGCTCTGTTTGCCAAAGGGCTCCTGGCAGCGCGAGTTCAGAGGAAGTGTCAGCTACTGGGAGTGGGGCTGGAAGCCAGGTGCGGTCTGGGAGACCAGAGGGTAGTCAGCAGGGAGCAGGGAGATGGGATGGGGAGCCTTGAAGGGAGGGGACGGGTTTGGCCGAACCATCCTTCAGCCCCTGAGGGGGGTGCACAGGCCTGACCAGGGGCCCAGTGAAGTGAGTCACTTCTCTCTCCTCAGCGTTTCGTTCCTGAGGGGCACGGGCGCCTGAGGCCCTGGTCCCTTCTCTCCCTGCCCCTCCAGCCCCTGCAGCACTGGACCCTGTGATTGCAGGAGCCTCTCACCTGCTGGCACCCCGCCCCACCCCAGGGGCCCTCAGTTCATTCCCTGAGATGTGCCCCCAGGACCCCCCACTGCTCCTTCCCATGCAGAAGGCCCCTCCCCCCTGCCAATCCCCTTCCTCCCCTGAGTCTCTGGCGTGAGGCTCGGGACCCCTCCCCTCACAGGAATGATGATGGAGCCTCAAGGGGCTGTGGGCTTCGCTGTGGAGGAGGGCGGGGTGCTGAGCGATTAACTCGGCTCCTCTGATTGAAAGCTCCCGTCAGCCCATGTGGCGGGAATGATGACTCCTTTCACAGATAAGGAACCGCGGGCACCGAGAGGGCGAGTCACTTGCCCAAAGCCACCAGTAGCACCAGTCGTCCGCCGGCAGCACCAGGGCTGTGTCCCAGCCTCTGCGGAGCCCAGGCGGGAATCCCGGGGGCTTTGTCTCTGTCGTAGCAGCCTCCTCGGGGACGGGGACGGGGAGGGGAGGGAGGAGCCTGGCGGGCAGGCGGGCGAAGGGGCTGGGGCCGCAGCGAGAACGCACTCCGAGGCGTGGGAACGGGACGTGTTTACAGTGAAGAATGAGCTGACACTTCTCTCCCCTCCACCTCGAGAGGCAAAGCAGCTGGGCTCCCGGCCAGGCCCCCAGGCCCCCAGGCCCCCAGGCCCCAGCCCTGTCTGAGCAGCCCCAGCACCCTGCCCTCTCCGCCCCCCCTCCACCCCCAAACCCCCACTGAGCCCAGCCCAGCCCAGCTCACCCGCCCCTGCTCTTCCCCAAGCTCAGCCTGGTTTGGGGGAGCCCGCTAGCTCCCCCCCTGTGCCACTGCCCGGGCTGGGAGGAGGGGTGCGGAGGCCCCTGGGGGAGTTCTCAGCAGACAGAGGATCCATTTCCACAGAAAGCACACGCACAGCCAAAGCGGACCTTCCACACCGTCCATCCCTTCCCGCCCCGCCCGAGCCTGGGTTCGAACCCTCTGTACCACGGGGAGGACAGGAGTGCCTCCCTGCTGGGGCTGTTGGGCAGACTGAGGTCTGAGTTAGTACAGATACTGCGGAGAGCGCACAGGTAATGAGCTCGGAGAGTGCTGGCTGCCTCAGCCCTGCACCCACCCCGCCCCTGGCACTGTCCTGGCCTTCCAGGATTAATTCCAGGCAATGCCGTGTGTTTCTGAAGACCCCCGGGGTGGTCAGGAATAGGAACAGGGCCTTAGATGCTGACAGGGAGAGAAGAACTGGGGATTGCAGGGGGGGGCTGCTCTGATCCCCCAGATCTAACCCCCCAGAACAATGGGCTGGCCACCAGGTCCTTCTTCACGCCAAAGGTGGCTGACAGCAGGCTGCCTAGATTCTGCTTCCCAGGCCCTTGGCCTGAGAACCACCTCCACCTCCTGGCTGGGTTCCGCCGGCCCCTCCTCCCTCTCCCCCCCCCCAACTCTGTGTGTGTGTGTGTGTGTGTGTGTGTGTGTGTCCTCCCCATCTCGGGTCCACAGGTTCTGTACTCACAAGCTGTCACACGCGATGTGACCTCAGGCGGCAGCTGAGCCTGTGAGCCTCCATTTCCTCGTCTGCGAAGTGGGAGAGTCCGCTCACACCTCCCAGGGCTCAGTGAGGGCTTCCTTCCTCCCCCAGTTTCTTGTCTCTCTCTTACTGCCTCTCTCCTCCCTCTCCACCCAGGCTGCCAGGTGCATGGTGCAGCATGCTCCCTGCCCCGGACCTGCCTTCCAGGGAGCTCCCTGCCTCTCATCTCCGCCTGTCTCCCTCCCAGGCTCTGTGTCTGTTTCCCTGCCCTTCCCTAGCGTACCTTGGCCGTAGAGACAGGATCCCTCTGTCCTGTCCACTCCGTGAGATCCCAGTCTGAAGACCCCCGCTTCCTCCCGCATAGGAACGCGCTCCCACCCAGCTCTACACGCCACACGGTGCACACATACCCATGCTTGCACACGCAAGCTCAGAGCCCCTCCTGTGTGCAGCCAGGCCAGGCCTCTGGGACACCAGGCATGTGTGCCGGATGGAGGGACA